ACCTTCCCAGGGCGCTACTCTGCCAAGGTGGACGGCTTGTTCTTGACGGTGTGTGTGGGTGGGTAGGTAAGTGGGTGGCAACGTGGGGAAGGCTGGCTCTGTTTTACAGATGCAAGCGAGAGGGAGAGAGATACCACACCACTGCGGCACTAGGACAAATCATAAGCGGGCTCCGTGCGCATATTGCGGTCGATAGGCGCCCTGATGTAGAGAACGGAGCCATGCGATAGGCCGGACACACGATCAGCGCAGATTTTCAGACAGCCTCACTTCTCCTTTCCCCTCATCCACGCCCAGGCGGCCCGTCGTAGTTTCGGCCAGTGGTTCTGACGATATGTACAAGGGACAAAAAGAGCAAGATGTTATGAATGGAACGCCTGTGCATTGGCGGTGTGCGCGCGCTTGCATTTCTCCCTCAAAGAAGACACTAAATACAGCCTCGGTGAGGAAGAGAGGCCATAGGTACACCCTCTGCCGTTGTGCCGTGCCGGGAAATTTTCTGCTGCAATACCAACCTACATGACGGTATTGGAAGATCATGGAGGGTAGCTAATCAAACTCTCGGCCCTGGGAGGAAGCCCTGGTCTTTTCTAACTTCTTTTTTTTCCCTTTTGGCCGTATGTGGACCTGCCACGTCTCTCCCCTCATGCAGCCGACAACCTGGCCGTCCTTCAAAGTTTAGGACTTTTATTTCTCCTGGTTTCCGTCAACTGGGGACGGGTACATGTACCGACTACAACTGGGTCTGTCGGTATGAGGTGGGCGGCTGCGCTATGGTGTGGTTTGGGTGGTTTTTTTGGGGAACTCTCTGGTCAGTCACAAGTCCCGCGCAGGAGCAAGGAAGAAAAAAAATAGAGTAGGCGCTTGGACGAGGAAGAGCGAGAGGGTGACAAGAGGCGGCTATCCTGCCGCATCCGCACACCCGCGAATTCCCCGGGCCTTGTCTGGGCCTCTTCATTGACTCCTCGACTTGGCCACCGCGGGCCGGTGTTCCCTTCCTATCCGTGATTGGGGCCGCCCATACCGTGAACCGTGCTTCCTCCAATCCTCGCCATCGCTTTCGTGGGGAAACTGTGGTAGGCACAAAACAATGCGATGCAGAGGTCGAGTTACAGGAGATTGCAGCTCCTCGGGGCGCCTATGCGTACCGTTCGAAGGCCCTGCTTGTCTCCTTTACGGTCCCTACAAGGAAAGGGATTGTAGCACTCAGAGAAACAGCAAAACGGAGAAAAAAAAGCTCATCTTAACATGTCGCGACCTATTTTCGTCTCAACCAGTAACACAGACAGTCCAGATATGCAGTCAAACAACCAACAGTGCCTGTGTAGCCGTGCGAAGGATAAACGCCACGTCGTCGAGATTGGGTCTGAGCCAGGAAACACGAATAGGCTGTGGGCATCCATACATCCGGCAGGAGATCCGGTGTGGTGCTTGTGATGAGACCAGCCTCCTTCAGCTGCTGCGCTTAGAAGGTTGCGACTTCTTGGTGCTTCATATTGACAAACCCCTTCCTTCGCCCCATGTCTTGCTTCTTCTTCTTCTCTTTCGTAGGGTGTGTGGCAAAGCCAGAACCAAGAAAAGGGTCGATTGTATTGCAGCGAGCGCTAGGCACCTTATGCAAGCCCAGAAGCCACATTCGCACTCGATCGAGCGGGTGGTGGGCACGGACGCGAGGCAGGCATGGGGAGTAGGTGTGCCAATGTGCTGAGAGTACTGGCTGGGCTGGGCTGGCACCCTGACTGGCCAAGCATGCTCTGGGGGTCGATTCCTTCTGCCCTACGAGCCAAGCTTTTGGCGTCCAGGTTGCGGTGGCGGCTGCTGTGGTGGGCAGGGGCTGTTCCGTCGACTAGGAAGGATCCGTCAATCTTGAGGGAGTTAATGAAAGACACGAAATGGAGACGGGATGGGAAAAATATTCACCAAAGCAAAAGGTCGAGATAAACCCAAAACGAATAAACAAACATGTGCGTGCTAGGATGTGGCCAACCCACACCCAATGGCTCAATTCTGCCCTCGTCTCCCGAAACGACAACACAAGTTCCGTGCAGCAGGCCCTGCCTGACCTGAGCCCTCGGCGACCATGGGCCAGTTCAATGAGACGAAGGAGTCCCCTTGCCCGCTCGCCTGGTCCCCCCTGGGATGATGCCCTGGAGGGGGGAGGGGAGGCGTGTGCGGTCAAAGGCCAGTCGGCCGAGAGCTGGAGATACCGGACGCGAGCACACATTCTAGGTTGCTTGGTGCCTTATAAGGAAACGATGGGATCCCTTGCCTAGCGGATAGCGCCCGGTGTGTCATCGCCCGTCTCCTGTCCTGTCTATCTACCTACCACCACCCCATGCAAGGCAGGCAGGTGAGGTGGGTGTGGTTGCGCGGGGCAGGGATGTCATGGGTCGGCAAACGGCTCCTTTTCACGGCGGCAATCGTGTCTGGTGTGGTTACAATCCAAGGCCAGGAAAGGGCTGTCTCTGCCCAGCGCGTCCCGCCGCAGTGATGCGCCGCCTGGGCCAAGACAGCACAGACAAGGAGGCCCAAGTGGCAGTAGACGGTACAGGAACGGAAGGGTGGAGGTAGGTAGGGTTACAGGCCAGCCAGGAAAGGAGACAAGACGGAACGGATGGATGGATGGATATGGATTGGAGCAGGGGAGAGAGGACGCTCGAGCTGGCTTCCCGCGTCATTTGAGTGATGACGGCCTTGTCGCAACCTGCTGCCCGCCAGCCCTGGCTGTTTGGACGTTTCCCTTGCCGATAGGATAGAATATGTCAGTGCGGAAGCGGGAGAGAGTCTCTTGATGGCAATCCCCTAGATTCCTGGCTCGCCGGGGTTGCGGCCGAAGGGTTCCGGGTGGACTGGCGGATCGGCGGGCCCCTGTCTGCCAGCCAGCAGAGGGCTCTCTCTCGCCCCCTGTACTGGTCTGCTCCACCGCATAGACGAAAGGAGAAGTTGAGCCGTGCGCTGCTTGCGTTCACATCAGACGCATCGCAGACACAGAGTGACAGATCAGACTGGGTACCTCCAGTCGTTGGCGTGCTAGGTTGTGGGCCTTGGGTTTGAAGCCGCGACACCCTGGCTGCCATGACCGGGGAAAATACCAAGCCCTCCCCGGCATGATCAAGTGTGTGTTTGTTGAAACCCAGGGTCTGTTCTCGCAGACAAGGCAATCTCTTCGCCTCTCTGCCAGGGCAGGGACTTTTTGGCTGGTGGACGTGCCAACAACCGGCTTCCCGCGGCTCGCGGCAACGGGAGGGTTGGCTTGCCAGCCAAAAAAGACCATTTTTCATTGCCGCTCAGCGCGTAGTCCGTCACCCGCCGCTACCGCCACTACCACCTGGCTACGACTGGGGTTATGGGAGGCTATCACACCATGCGGACTTGCCACGGCAGGTATGGACGCACATGCATACCTAGGTATCCTCTTACCACCCACCTAGGTAGGCAGGTGCCTAGATACCTGCCTAGCCATCTCGACAGACCAAGTTGAGGCTCAGCGACAGATGTGGAGTGGGCGACGGTTGGCCAGAGATACAGCCCCCCGCTCTTGTGTCCTGTGAGCTGTCGGGGCTGCGGAGTGCACGTAGCACCGGTTCTAGGATGGTGGGGAAATACAAGAATGGAGAAAGGGTTTAAAAAAGAGTGTTTGTGACGGGGCCGGGTGGAACGGCAAGAAACGGATGAAGACGGCACCCCGGTAAGGTACCTCGGTACCCAACCTAGCCCAGTTACAGTACCTTCCCTGCCTCGGCCGTTTGCTAGCGAAATTGGCACATGGAAAGGGCAGGACGGCGGCACGAAAACCCTCCCAGCGACGACGTGCCCGACAAGGACAGGGCCGCATGAGGAACTCGGGAAGGCGAAAACGATTCATCGTTTGCGGCCATCATGCTATTGGATGACAGGACAGCGCTTGGCACGGGGCATGGGGAGGGGGCTCGCGATATCACCAGCCGGTGACGCTCACTTGGCACTGCTTTACCAGGACATGAGCACGACGGAAAATGTTTTCTGTGCCGGGCATACGCTGTTTGTTGGCGTATTCGCAGCCGACGCATCCTCATCTTGGCCGGCATCTAGTGTTTTGCGTGGGTTGTTCTGGTGGTGCCTGTGCGTGCGTCTTCCGATGGGCCAGGCGTCCTCTAAAGCGTCCTCTGAGGCGTCCTTCTTCTAGGCACACACGTATCTCGGTCAGCCATCCCTGCCTGGGGGCTTTTAACCTTGTTTTGGCGAGGGTGTATAAGGTCTTGGGCTCTCGATGCCTGCTTTTAGAATCTGGAGCCCGGTGAGACGGAGTTTCCATGTTGAGGGGCTCGCGCCGTTGTGCCAGGCTCACTCCAACCGAGCCCTCTTGCCCGCGTCTGTCCCTGATCCCGTGACCTGACCTGTCCTCAGGGGATCCTGGTCAAGGCCCACCTAGCGCGCGATTTGGCCTGGCTGGGGCTGGTTGTTGGAGGTATTACGTAGCAAGGTCTGTGATTGGCCCGCAAAGATGACAGCATTTCAGGCACGCTTTGCAAAGCCACCACAGCCATGCATGCTTTGGTTGTGAAGCCCACGAGGGAGTCCCGATTGTGTAGATGCACACGCAACCGCCAGCCACAGCAGTCCTCCCCGAAATCCAAGCCTCTGTCGGACCGATAGGTACTCCTCCCCTCAGGCCACATATGCATTCCCGCATCCGCGTCTTGAGGTGACGTGCCGAGGCGCAAGGCGCGACGCCTACGAGCAGCAGCAGGCTCCGCCGCCCTTGCACCGCCCGCCTCACCCCGGCCCCGGCCCCGGCCCCGGTCCACATCCTCATAAATGCCGTCGCGCATATCGTCGGGGGCCCCGCCCGGCTCGGCGCCGTGGCGGCTTTTGCTGCTGCTGCTCCTGTCGTCATGGGCCGGCCTTGGTGCCGCCATGCGCCCGGCCAAGGTCGCCAGGCTGCGCCGCGAGGTCGTCGACATGTTCTACCATGGCTACGACAACTACATGGAGATTGCCTTCCCCGAGGACGAGGTACGTTCTGCCACCGTCAAGAACTCCCCTTCTCAGATCTGGTCATCAGACATCGGATATGCGCACGTGGTAGCACGTGGGCTGACATTTACTTTCCCCAGCTGCGTCCTATTACTTGCGCGCCTCTCACCCGAGACCCGCTCCAGCAGGACAACTTCCAGCTGAACGACGTCCTGGGCAACTACTCGCTCACCCTGGTTGACAGCCTTTCGACCTTGGCTATCCTCGCCTCGGCGCCCCCTGAGGATGGCGATGCGGGTCCCAAGGCTCTCCGTGACTTCCAAGATGGCGTGCTGGCCATGGTGCAGTACTACGGGGACGGGACCGAAGGCCCATCCGGCCAGGGCCTGCGCGCGAGGGGCTTTAATGTCGACAGCAAGGTCCAGGTGTTCGAAACGGTCATCAGGGGCGTGGGGGGCCTGCTCAGCGCCCACCTGTTCGCCGCCGGGGACCTGCCCATGACCGGCTACCATCCCCCGGCCGCAGCAGACGGACGACGGCCCGAGCCCTGGGCCAACGGGCTGGTGTACGACGGGCAGCTGCTCAGGCTTGCCTACGATCTCGCGTCGCGCCTCCTACCCGCCTTCTACACCCAGACCGGCATGCCGTACCCCCGCGTCAACCTGCGCCACGGCATCCCCTTCTACGTCAACTCGCCCCTGCACGATTCGTCGCGCGCCGATGCGCCGCCCGACTCTGAAGGCGACGCCGAGATCACCGAGACATGCAGTGCGGGTGCGGGCAGCCTCGTCCTCGAGTTCACCGTGCTCAGTCGTCTGACCGGCGACCCCAAGTTCGAGCAGCTGGCCAAGCGCGCTTTCTGGGCTGTCTGGTACAGGAGGAGTGACATCGGCCTCATCGGCGCCGGCGTCGATGCCGAACACGGCAAGTGGATCGGAGCCATGTCCGTGATCGGTGCCGGCGCCGACAGCTTCTTCGAGTATGCCCTCAAGACGCATATCCTGCTCTCTGGCCATGCAATGCCCAACGTTTCAGCCGCGGCGGCTCGGGCAAACTCGGGCAGGAGGCAGCTACACTATCAGCTGGACCCCAACGAGCTTTTCCCGCCCCTGACCGAAGAGGAAAACTCGCCCGACAGCTTCCTCGAGGCCTGGCATCAGGCACACGCCGCCACAAAGAGACATCTCTACACCGACCGGGGCCACCCCCACTACCTCAGCGTCAACCTCTGGACCGGCTCTCTGGCATCGCAATGGATCGACAGCCTGGGTGCCTTCTACTCGGGCCTGCTGACCCTGGCCGGAGAGCTCGAAGAGGCCATCGAGACCAACCTGCTGTACGCGGCCGTCTGGACCAAATACGCGGCGCTGCCGGAGCGTTGGTCTACTAGGGACAAGACGGTCGAGGGAGGTCTGGGATGGTGGCCGCTGCGTCCCGAGTTCATCGAGTCGACCTACTATCTATACAGGGCCACAAACGACCCCTGGTATCTGTACGTCGGTGAGATGGTCCTGAGGGATGTGAACCGCCGGTGTCGCACCCCCTGCGGCTACGCTGGCCTACAGAACGTGCTCGACGGCGAGCGGAGCGACCGCATGGAGAGCTTCTTCCTGGGTGAGACGGCCCAGTATTTGTACCTGCTCTTCGACGACCGTCACCCTCTCAACTCGCTCGATGCCGCTTTTGTCTTCACCACCGAGGGCCACCCTCTCATCATCCCCAAGAAGCGAGCAGCGGCCCCGCCAATTCCTGCCGAGCGAAGACACAGCGCTCCCGTTGTGCCGCTCGACCAAGACTCGTTCCCAGACACATGCCCTGCGCCGGCGCGCGTGATGCCACTGTCTGGTTCCCTGACGGCGGCGAGGAAGGACATCTACCACGCCGCGAGGATGGCCGAGCTACACCTGATCCCGAACACACGGCGGGCTCAGGGCAAGATGGCGGAGAGGCGGGGATCGGGCCGATCCGACTTGGAATCCAACCACACTCTGTTCCCCTGGACGCTTCCACGCTCGCTGCTCCCGGAAGATGGCACCTGCGCCCAAGTGTCGGAGCCGCAGGAGATGATGCTCGAGTTCGCGTCCAACTCGCAGCAGGGGACGATCGGCAGCGCCTTCAACTTCATGATGGGGTCGCAGAACCTCGAGCGGCTGGCGGTCGATAAGATCCGCGTGCTCAGCATCTCGAGCCTCAAGCTCACCCTGAGGCTGGTGCAGGACGAGCGGGCGGCGACAGGCGCCCAGCGCGAGTGGCGTGTCACCAAGGTCAACGGGCTGCCGCTGGGCCGCGACGAGGCGCTCGTCATGGACCGCGCCATCCTGGGCGAGGTGTCGGACCCGCGCTTCAACATGGTGCGCGACCCCGTCGTCGTCAAGCTGCACCATCTGCACCAGGTCGACCTCGACTATAACGGAACCGCGGACGAGACTGGTGCCGCGGCGCCCGAGGGGACCATCACGGTCCAACCGGGATCTGTTGGGGCGGCCAGGTCGGGCGGCGGCGGCGGGCTGCGGGCGTCGGACTTTGGCGCCCTCGTCAAGTCCTTCTTTAGACAGGCCGCCCTCTCGCTCGACCGTGCCGCCGGGGCCCCCTCCTCGGCCACCTACACCCCCAGCCCGGGGCGGCGCGGGGCACCGTCACCCCCATCCGGGGGCAGCCCCGGCAGCAGTAGCGGCGCCTCGCCCCCGTACAACGTCCTCGTCAACGTGACGGGCGTCACGCCGACCGGGGCCGGGGCGGCGCCGCTCCCGGCGGTGGACATGCCGGCGGGCGCGCACGTGCCGCACGTCGGGCCCTTCCCCGCCGACTACCTTCCCTGGTCGACTGTGTTCGCCGCGGGCGACGCGTGCGCGGGCCCGCTGCCCGACGCGGCGCCGCGTGACCACCACGTCATCGTGGTCCGGCGCGGCCACTGTTCCTTCTCGGCCAAGATGGCCAACATTCCGGCCTTCAAGCCCACGGACCAGAGCCTGCAGCTCGTCGTCGTCGTGTCGGACGACGAGGAGGAGGAGGAAGAGGGAGGAGGGGACGAGGAGGGCAGCGGCGGCCGGAGGGCCACTTCGTCGTTCCTGGGAGGGCTCGAGAGGGCGGCCGGTGGCCCGGGCATCGGCGGCGACTACGGCCGCGTCATTCGTCCGCTGCTCGACAGGCCACAGACTACGCCGTCGGGCCTGACGCGCACCCACCCCATCGCCATGGTGCTCGTCGGCGGCGGCGACCTGGGCTATCACCACATCGCCCACGCCGAGCGCCTGGGCCTGACGAGGCGGTACTACATCGAGAGCCAGGGCCTGAGGGTCCGGAACATTATCATCGACGACGGCGACGACAAGTGAATGACGGGAGACGGGGCGGGGGGACAAAATATGGTTATGATGCATAGCATGTTTGCATTGTCGGGTTTCTTTCTTGTTTTTTCAGGCTTTTACCAGGTGTCAATTTCGCGAGTCGCAAGGCTCCTTTGTAATTAGACGGGCCATTCTCGTTTTACAATATCAGGAATGTTTACAAGTACGTTGGATTCTCTCGAGCATACGATGGGGAGCTTCGATCCCGTGAATCTAGACACAGTAGGTATTCATGGTACTGGGGTTCCATCGTAGTGAGCCGAAATCCTAGCTGGGAACTGTCCCAAGCCGAGACCAGCCTATTCAGCCAACTGTTCCCAGCCGATTCAAATGTGTCCAAACATATCGGATGTCCCACGCCGCCCGAGCGAGGGATTCTATATATTCCTTAGTGCGAACATGTATGGCACGCCCATGAGCTATCATAAACCCATACTTACAAATCCACTTGCCGCATCGCCCTGTCTATCCATGATGTCACCCCGCCGGCCAGGATAAGAGGGAGAAATATCGGGGAAGAAACGTAGCCAGAGATATGTAGATGGCATGATGGATCGTGTTGCCACCAAAAAGAACGAGCCAACTTCTGACGCCATCGCACAACCGTGTCACTGCCATATGCATGCACCTAGCCCCGGCTGGGGGATGCTGAATATGCTCAAGAAAAAAAAAAGTAAGCATACCTCGGTACATGATTTGAACGAGACGGGCTGGGGAAAAAAAACAGGGGTCTTTTGTTTGCTCCTTTTTCCCTCGGAACCCCCCGTCTTGATCCAGTGGATGGGGCGCGAACGCTTCCACAATGGCGTGATCCCCTTTTTGCATGCAATTTTCTGCCTGCAGGTGGGGGAAGAGGAAAGCGGAGCGGAGCAGCATGTCAATATGGAATGCATCTCCGTGGGACGCGTCCCCTAGCGTTCTTTTCTTTTTCTATGTTTTTTTTTATGCTTTTGTTTTTGCTCTCGTTCTTGCCACCTGTCATCCGTCGTTTTCCAGAAAGAAACAAAAAAAATTAGAATAGATATCCCCTTTCCCCGCGACCGCTCTGTCTCTAGGCAGTCGGGTACTCAGCCTCCTCGAGCAGGGTGATGACAGGCACGTCGCCAAGCTTCTCCTTGCCCTTGAGCGGTGCAATCTCGAGGAGGAAGAGATAGCCAACAAGCTCACCGCCCAGCTTGCGGACTAGCTCGCCGGCCGCCGAGGCAGATCCGCCTGTAATGTGTGGAACGAGCAAGCGGTCAGATAACATGCATAGCTATGAGGTTTGGCCGTGGGATGTAGGGGTTCTGATGGGCAGTGTGTGGGCGGAGAGGAGGCAGAGGACAACGGCAGAAGAAAACATACCAGTGGCGATAATGTCGTCCACGACCAGTACCTTCTGGCCGGGCTTGATGGCGCCCTCCTGGACCTGGAAAAAGTCCTGGCCGTACTCCTTCTCGTAGGCGGCGGTGACGCAGGGTCCCGGCAGCTTGCCCTTCTTGCGGACGGGGACGAAGGCGGCGTCGAGGCGCAGGGCCAGCGAGGGGCCGAACAGGAAGCCGCGGGCGTCGAGCCCGGCGACGACGTCGGGCTTAAAGGCGACGGCGGCGGCGGCGGCGGCGGCGGCGGCGGCGGACCCCGCGGAGAAGGACTGCACCTGGAGCTCGAGGGCGCGCAGCAGGGTGGCGTGCATGGCCGGGTCGAGGAAGAGCGGCATGATGTCGAGGAAGACGATGCCGGGGATGGGGAAGTCGGGGAAGCGCCGCAGGGCGTTGAACAGCTCTATCTTTGCACCGGCGAGTTCGGAGGCGGAGGCGGCGGCGGCGGCGGGCTGTTGTCCCGAGGCATCTTGAGCCGCTGCTGTGGCTGTGGCCGATGATGTTGCTATCGTCGTCGTGCTCGCGCCTGTTGCTGATGGGTTGGATATGGAGGAGGACATGGTCGGGAAGGGGGAAGGGCGCGGAGCAAGGGAGGGAAAGGTCCGGATAAGAAAAAAAAGGTTGGGCCCAAGGGGGTGTGTGCGTGAAGGGCGCGGCGCCTTAGGTAAGGCAAACAAAAGCGGCCGCTCACAGCAAGGGCCGCGGGCGTGGGTAGGTTTCTGCTAACGCGGTAGGGGGTGATATGAAAGGACCGAAAGGCTGAGAGTGAAGGACGACACGGTCTGGCGTGTGCGTGCGTGCGGAAGGTGGTAGCGGAGCTGTTTGGTTGTAGTGGTGCTTAGCCGTATCTGCGTATCACACACCAAGCACAAATGCGTGTGGCGGGGTCGAGCTTCTATTTTTTTTTCTTTGCTTTTTTCCCTCTCCCCACTCTCCTCCTCCTTTCCTCTTCCGTTCGTCTAGACCGGAGGGGTGTGCAGATAAACAGTCGGGAGGTCAGGCACAGCGCTTGATTGGATCGGGTGGGTGTAAGTCGGGCCCCTGCGGAACAGGCGGGACTGGGACTGAGTGCTCCCCTCTCTTATTTTTATCGTGCGTGCGTGAATCTTTTTAAAAGTGGGTGGTGAGCCGGCCACCGCAAGGCTTTTGCGGGTACCTCTCCAGCAGGCACTGTACTTGACGAAGGGAGACTGTCGAGGGGAATTGCAGAGGAAGGAATTGGTGATAGAGCCAGTCTCTTTGGGATGGTAAAGGAATCAAGGCAAACAAAGGATGGCCGTGGAGGAATAAAAGTTGTGGGAGGGTGTACAGCATGATACAGAGTGAGGGAATGTGGGGGTCTGTTTGGGGTATGCCCGCTGGGAAGGTGCAGCAAAAAAAAGATCAAAAGCTGTCTCTGGAGGAGGTTTCCCGTTTCTGCTAAACGGCTAGATTTCTGGACTTGTTTTTCATCCATCAACAAGGGATAATGCGTGTCCCATTTTCAGCCAGCAACACAGCTCTCGACTTGGATCCAGTAAAGCATCCCTCCGACTTTCTGCTCGCGCAGTTTGGCCGCGAATGGCAAGCCGCCATGCGGGCAGGTGCTGAGAGGTGGTAGGTGGTGGGAAGCCGGCGTGGTGTGGGTGGCACTTGCTTCCTAGAGTTGGGTGGGTTGCACACAGGTGGGACACACAGCCCGACAGGGTACCCATCGCTGCCAAACCACAAGAACCCGGATGGTGGGGTTGGCCGCGGGGCTGCCCAGCGAGCGGCCAGCTTCAGTTCTTGCGCGAGCGCGCAACCTTGTCGGGTGCCTGATACGGCACATAGCGACGACCGTGCTGTGCGTCCCGGCCAGGTCGAGCTTGCGAGGTGCGCGTCCGCGGCAGGACGCATCTGGGCGGTCTTGTCTGCGCCTATTGGAGTTACAGTGGGAGGACAAAAATACCGCTCGCTACCTATTTTAACGCTACTACTTTAAAATGCTATAACTTTACCCCAAATGCATGCATTAAAGTGAGGTAAGTTTTATTATAAATTTAAATAAAAAAGCTAACATATACCCTTTTTTAAAAAATTTAAACGAAACGGTTATTTAATAATTAAATAAATAATTAAATGTTAAAATTTATATATTAAAAAAGTATTTTATAAAATTAATAACTAATTAATAATAAAATGTTATATATATATAATTTAATTTATATAATTTACTGCTTATTAAATACTACGTGTATAAATTTTTAAATTTAGGTTATATATATTTTTAGCTTATTATTTCCATTTAAAAATATAGTACGTTTTAAATATATATTTTATTTTTTATTTTTTTATACCTTAAATATAAAGGAAATTAATAAAATTAAAATTAAAATGTATATAAAAACAAGTTAAGTATTATATAGTAAAAGTTACTTTTTAATATATATTGTGGGGCGCTGGTATTCCTTGCGCAATTTGGCGTTGAATTTTTTTTTGGAAAAGCGAGCGGTACTTTTGTCCCCCGGGTGTAAGTCCTCATCCACCTCCTGCTGCTTCGGTCCAGGGCCTTGACGGGAATATATCCAGTATAGGTAGGTAGTTCCTACCTGCCTAGGTACCTACCCAACCCTGATTAGCCGTCCGAGTCGCATCTCATTATCCTGCTTACTAGCCGGCCAGCCTGTGTCGTAAGCCAGCAGAACGAGCAGTGCCCACAACATTCATGCTCAGGAACCGCAGCCCGGCCGTGTTCTGGCCTGTTCGGTCTGGCACCCCAATATTTGTTGCCTGGGAATATCCTGGATTCCGGCCTATCTTGGCCCACCACCAGGGGCGATGCGATACGATGCAGACGCAAGCTGGTATATGCCAGACACTCGGAACCATCTGGAGGTGGTTGCTGGTGATGATGACTCGACGTGGGAACGTCCACAAGGGGTGGGCAGAGAGAGATTGAGGGCTCCCTGATAAGCGCACGTCTCGCTGGTGAGGGGATGTGGGGTGATTGTGTCGGCACCGCACCCCAAGTGCCGCGCACAGGCACGCCGCTTTCACATGTGCTCTCCCTCTCCCTCTTGTCGCCATCAGCCGCGCCCCGCGGACAAGTGCCCCAGTCATCGGCGCACCTCCGTTTTCATGGACGGGAAGCGCGGCCCAGGCCCAGGCTGGAGTCGACGGCGTCTAGAACAAATCACCACCCGGCGCACATCACTGCGGCATGACAAACCCGGTAAATCTCGTGTTTCAGCCCGCTGCGCGGCACGCAAGCCGCTCCACTCGTCCCAGCGACGGTCCCAACGGAACCAAAGCCTGTTGTTTGCCCCAACAGCATCACCACTCACTCTACTGTGTATAACCCCCAGCCTATTCTCAACCGTATTTCTTTTGGCCACGGCCGGCTAGCCGGGTGGTCTCGGCTGGTGCCCGTCTCTTTCCGAGCTGTCATGTATACCCACGTCTCATACACCTCGTTTTCACAGTGAGACCGCCATTATTTGAGTCATGGGGGGTTTCGTTCTTGGGCAAAAGCAACGGGAATTCCCTCCGGCCGTCCGGAGACGCCCACCTGGCACCAAACACCGTGTATCTGTATCTGGCCATCCATGGAGCGGTAGCAGTAGCATCAAAAATCCTCACACCGCCATATCGACCCCACAACCCGTCATGTATGCCTACCTGTCCTTTTTTTTTCCTTCTTCCTCCCCGATGCCATCCCGCGTCCCCCTCCCTTACGAAGGGAAGGGTGGGCGGGGCCCGGGGCCCGGCTCTGCGGCCCATGTACCCCCGCGACAACACCACGCGTTCTTTTGGGGGAACTTTTTTCTTTTCTTTTTTTTTCCTCTCTTTTTCTTCGCCAGACGGCCAGGCTGCCTCTTGGCGCCGTGCAATAGGATGCGCGGGATGTGAGGCAATATGTAATGCTTATTACAGTGCAGTCGGTGAGGAAATATGGGCTGCTCGTTAGGGAGGGACGCACACTTGGAAAAAAAAAAAGGAAAAAAAACAAAAGTCCAGATTGCTTGCTCCGCTGTGATCTGGGTGCACGCGGTTCCCGCGCCTTTTCTTGCTTCTTTTTTTCACTCCATGTTTGCTCCAATCGGACGGTATCTGCGTCGCCAGAGCAGGCGCTGCGGCGAGAAGCAGGCCTCCGGATAACTGCATCCTCTCCTCGCGTATATGCGGTCGGCCGTGCTGTGTCAATCGTAGCTGTCACTTTCCTTTCTGTGTTTCACTGCCTTCGCCTTCTGTTATCCTCTCTCCTGGCTACGCGTGTCTCGCCCGGCCCAAGAACCCGGTCTACTTGTTATCATGCGGCTTTCCGAGAGACTGCCCGCGCTGGCTGGCGACTCGCTGCACGGGAAATTCTGGGTGCTTCTGCAAGTGGTTTCGATTGTTTTGATTCCAGGTGCATATTTCGGCGGCGTTTAAATTAGATGCATGGAGTTATTTCAGTATCTTTATCGTTATCGGCAACAACGGTTGGGTATATGGGTATCGTGGCGATTAGGAGACGGCGTTGGGTATCAGGAAGGGTGCAGTGTGAGCAAGAGGAAAGCCACAAACGTCGCGATGATGTGTAAAAACAGACTATAACTCCTCGCAAGTCAACCGATCGGGGGAGAGCAAAAAAAACCTTCAGCAGCTCACAGCACAAGCGACGCGACGGTGGCCCCGACGCCGCCGGCGCCGGGGAACTGCAGGCGGATGATGGAGAAGAACATATTCTGCAGCACGTGCAGCACGACGGCCACGCTGGTGGGCAGCAGCTCGGGCCAGACGGCCAGGTCGAGCTTGCCCTCGACGACGACGCTGACGCCGTAGAAGAGGCGGATGAGGCCGGCGACGACAAAGGACGCCGTCAGCTCGCAGGCCCACGTGACGCTCGAGGCGCTGAGCGTCAGGGCAAAGTTGTAGCCGCCGTCGTCGTCGTCGTTGTCGTCGTCGTCGAAGGAAAAGTAAGGGTACACCTCCCGGTTTGGGCCAAAGTGCAGGATGGCGACCGAGGCCAGGAAGGCCATCATGGACGCGTTCTCGGCCACGAAGCGGATAAAGACGTTGCGCACGCCGAGCTTCTGGTACGCGCCGTAGCTCTGCCCGTTGAGGCCCAGGACGGTGAGCAGCCAGTGGAAGGTGGCCGACAGCGTCAGCGGCGTGAGCACGATCAGCGTCGTCGACGAGATGACCTGCAGAAGCACGAACTGCGACGGCGAGCGCAGCCGGGCGTACAGCGCGCGCACGTAGGTCTGGTACGTGAGCATAAAGTACCTATGGGGAGGGGAGTGGAGGGGAGGGGAAGAAACAAGGTCGTCTTGTTAGCGCGAGAGTGACCATCGTGTCTTGGGTGTCAAAGGGGTTTAACCAACAGTTTGAAAACCCAGCTCAGGGGATACGACCCGACCCTCTCGCCCTCGTTGCCCCCCAGGATCCAGCCGGTGAGCCCGTCGAGCAGGTAGACGGTGACGACCCAGCCGTAGACGTAGACGATGGTCTCGAGGTTGTTGTGCGGCAGCGTGCGCAGGTAGATCTCGGCGTAGGCCTCCCCGAGCACGTAGGCGAGCAGCCCGATGAGCAGGGCGACGCAGAACCACACGAACCGCACGAAGCTCGCGGGGAGCCAGCGCCGGCGGAGCCGCACCGGCAGCGACGTCGCCCCCGGGCGGCGGGTCCGCGACTGCGACGACGGGACCTGCTGCAGCGCGTCGGCGCCCAGGTCGAACGAGTCGCGCTGCAGACCCGGCCGCCGGCGCTGGTCCCGCCGCGGGGAGGAGGACGACGACAGCAAGTCGGCCTCGCCGGTCCACCACGACGACGTAAAGATGCGCTGGGTCTCGGACAGCGAGTTGCGCAGGCCGAGATGGCGCTCGTTGGTGGTGAGGATGATGAAGGCGATGGCGACGGGCATGGCCATGAGGCAAAAGGTCCACGAGATCCAGGCCGTGTTGTGCATGGTGATCCAGCGCGTCTCGGGCAGCAGGTAGACGGGGATCGGGGCCATTATGGAGAGTATGCCGATCAGAGTTATGGTGATGGGGAACCCTAGGGTTTTGGGCCACCTGGATATCTGGTCAGTGAAGGGCAGGAGAAGCGAAGGCTGGTTGGAGGAAGCACGTACCAGTTCAGGCTGTATAGGTTAAACACCTTTGTGATCCAGCTGCAGGGCCAGGTAAGTCAGGTCAGTCTTGGACAAGGGCATTTCGGCGCCCCAGCAGGCACACCACAGGGCAGGGACGACAGCAACGTACACTACAAAACAGCACAGTTAGCATCCGCCCAAGCGACATCAGCAAAGACGAACAAGCACCAACCTAGCGCGGTCAGGTTGTAGAACCCGTAAAACACAAACAAAAAGAACCAAAAGTTAACCTGCACCCTCGCCGCCCCGTGGCCGGGCCGCTTACGGGGCGGCGTACCCGGGCCGTCCGGCGCCCCCGGTACCCCCGGCAGCGGGTACTGCGGGAACGGGAGGGCGCACCAGCCGACGGCCAGGGACGCGGGCAGCACCACGAGCAGCGCCCAGCGGCTCCACCACTTGTCCACGACCCTGCGGACGGCCGCCGGCCGCGGCGTGATCCACAGCTCGTCCAGGGTGCGCCAGGCCCTGCGGGCGGCGCCGGTCAGGAGCCCCTGGGCGTGGTGGTCGTCGTCGCCGTAGTAGTAGTCGTCATCGTCGTTGTCGCCGTCGCCGCTGCCGCCGCCCTCGGCATCGAGCTCCGCGGCCAGCAGCGCGCCGTAGCCGACGTGCACGCTGTTGCGGGCGTTGGCCGCGGAGAGGAGGCTGCCGGCCGGGCGGCGCCCGCCCTGGTGGTGGTGCGGGCGCGAGGAGGAGTGGAGGTGGTGCTGGTCTAGGCGGGGCACGGCGCGGAAGCGGCCGAGGAGCGGCGACGCGTCCGGGTTGTAGCGCGCCGACTCCTCGTCGCCTTGTTGGAACGAGAAGAAGGAAGGCATGGCGGTGGGCTGGCGCGTGGGGGTTGCGCCGGCTTCGGCTTTGGTGCTGATAGGTTGTCAGGCCCAGAAAGCTAGCAGGGCGCTGGACTCATCGCCTCGGAATTTCTTTGTTTTCTTTTCAAGGCCTTGTTTCCTGCCAACTTGGAGCCTGAAAAAAAAAACTGCTGCTGTTGTATTATTTTCCGCCCGATATCAAGCGCACTTACACCGACGCGACGGTCGGATGCGCAAGCGTCTGTGTGACGTCGTCAGTGCAGCCCAGACACTTTTTAACTGCGGCTGGTTGGGCACGAATTTCTGAGATCCGCTGATGCGCGGATTGTCATGGCGCGCTGCCTTGGACCCACGCTTGGACGGTGAGGGTGCTGTGCCGCCAGTCACATGCAGGAAGGGCCCCGCGCTGGTTATATATATGTAGAGGATATTATGGATTCTATGAATCGCCATTTTGGGAGTTGAGGATGACAACAAAGAACATCAAGTTCAAGTATTAAAAACAGCCCGTGGCGCACATCTCACGCCACCCCCACAGAATAGACGCTGACCGCCAGCCGGCTAGAGGATATATACACATACATGAAAAAACTAAAACAGCAATTTCATTACATCATGTCCTCTCCGAGCTCGTCCTCTTCCTCCTCATAAGCCTCCGAGTCGTCCTCTCCGGAGCTGTCGGTATTGTTGACGAGCACCTGGCTCGACTCGGCCTCGCCGTCCGCCATGGCCTCGGGCTCTAGCCTGCGCAGGTCCGGGGACGCGGACTGGGACAAGCTGGGCGCGGCATCCACGACGTCGTCGGCGAACGTGACCGCCTTGGCGCCCGGGGACCTGGTCCTAGCCGACGACGGCGGCTCGAGCACGTCCCCGTTCCAGGGCTTGCACTCCTTGACGAGCTCGCCGCAGCGCAGGCACGTCCAGCCCTCACCCTCCTCGCGCTCGAGCCGCGTGGCTAGGCAGACGAAGCAGTAGACGCAGCCACAGGGTATCGTCTCGTAGGGGTTGGTCACGTCCGTCTGCGCCGAGCCCACCACGCCGCTGGACGCGGCCGCCGCCATCACCTCGTTCTCGGTGTTCTGGCCCGAGTTTTGGTCGTGGTAGCAGATGCCGCACGTCCTCTCGGGCAGGAACGCGAGCTCTCCCTTCTTCTCCTTCTGTCCTTGGCCGTCGTCGGCCGTGCCCGCCGTGACCACCTCCTTTGTGCGCCTCCAGGCCCGCGAGAACCATTTGCGCCAGCGCTTTATGCCGATCAGTGGGAGGAAAAAGAGCAGAAACTCTGTCATGGCGTGCCAGACGAGCTGTCGGTTGAGGTATTCGAACGAGACCTCGCGGCTGACCTGGCTGGTAAGTGGCGCGAGCCTCATGCGCAGCAGGCGGTCGAGCAGGGTCCGATAGCGGCCCTGGACCAAGAAGGCCAGGAACGAGGCGAGTGCTGCCGCGGCGTGGACATTGGAGGCCATCGAGGTGAGACGTGTGAACCGTTGTATCCTCGGCGCCGGGGCGTCGTATCCGTTGTCCTGCCCTATGAGCCAGTCCTCCCACTTTGTCCAAAGGTACTTTCCACCGACTGTGACGGCGCCATAAAGCGACTTTTGTAGCCTGGACGGCGGGGACAGGCGCGTGCTGTCTTGTCTTGCGTCCGTGTATTTGAGGTTCTGAAGCGCCGCGCCGTAGGTGGCGCCGTGGTCCCAGACGGTGAGCTTAAAAAGGACGGCGCGGAGCACGAGCAGGATCTCGGGGGCCCAGTCGTCGCCCATCCTGGCGGTGCCGCCGCCGCCGCCCAGGTATTTCAACGCCTCGTTGACCTGGCCGCGCAGCAGGCCCAGCAGCTCCTCGTCCAGCAGCTCGGCATCAACCTGGCCGACACGGAAGGATGGGCGCGTGCCCTCGCGCGACGTGGCGGCGTCCCAGAACGACAGGACCGACGCGCCCATGCCCCGTATCAATGGTGACGACGAGTTCGTCTGGGCGATGTGGCGGCGCAGGCGGGAGGCGGATAGAGCGGCGGCATCGCGCGCCTGGGCCTCGGCCTCGCGCTGTTGTCGGCGGGCAGCAAGTCTAGCTTGCGCCTCGGCGAAGGAGGGCGGCATCGACATGGGCCTTTCTCGAGGGCTCGCTCGTCGGTCAGGGGGTTTGTTTTCAGGGGAGCGACAGCGATCAACCTAATGGTCGAGCAACTGGGACCGAGTCGAGGCGTTGTCGATTTCGGCGCATTGGGGGGTCTCTCGTATGCATGCAGAGTCGGGTCTCGATAGCTGTGGGATATGTGTCTGGGGGTAGGGAAGTTGGGGTTGGCAGCCAGGCCGCCAGCACAGCCGAGCCGAGGTTGAACAGATGGATTTGATGGGGACCAGCGGAAGCGCAAGGGATGGAGCTGAACTGAGCGCGACGTCCAGGGTTGCATGGGGCTGGAATTGCCGATGACGGGAGCTCGAGTGCCCCACAGCCCGCCCACAGCCCGCTGAGGCACAGCCCACAAGCACGCACGGGCCATGCTGCACCAGTGGCGGTTCTGGCGCATCAATTGGATGGAAAAGTCGACAAGGCCCAACACGCAATACTGGCATGGTCAGGTCTGCATGTGGTGGTGGTGGTGATCAACCTCATGTCCTGCACTCTGATCCGCGAGCTTTTCCTTCTCGACTCCCCACCGGCCCTTTCCCTGTCCAGTCAATGTAGCACACCAACAAGAACTCAGACCTGCGGCAGAGCACGATGGATCCGTCAAGCTCCTCAGCCACCACCCTGGCGAGGCCGCGCTTTGCCCTCGCCATCATCTCGGCCGTGGCCGCCCTCACTGTCGGCTTCTACTTTCTGCGCTCAGCAGCCACCGCATCGCCCGCTGCCGCCACCGGCCCCGGCGGCCTGCACCGCAGCAACGCCGTCCGCCGCCGCTCCCGCCAGCGCACCTCGCGCCGCTCGCGTCGCGGGTCGACAGCCTCGAGAGCCTCGGTGTCGAGCGCCGAGCACGGCGACGAGAACCGCCCCGACGAAAACCACAACCAGAACGACCGCCGCGATGCAAACGCCGAGTCCGGAAGCCTGCTGGGCGAGAACCGCGGCTTCCAGCCCCAGCCCGACGGCGAGACCCTGGCCGAGGACCTCGGCGGGGAGTGGTGGGAGGACTCGCAGCCGCTGAATCAACCCCGCTCCGGCCAGAACATCGTCAGCCTGCTGTTCCGCGTGTCAGAGGATAACGCCCGCCGCAACGCCTACGTGCACCGCGGCTGTGCCTGCAACGCCTGCGGTATAGTGCCCATCCGCGGCGTCCGCTACCGCTGCGCCAACTGCGCCGACTTTGACCTGTGCGAGACGTGCGAGTCCCAGGGCATGCACATCAAGACACACATCTTCTACAAGGTCAAGATCCCCGCCCCACCCTTCGGCCCGCGTCAGATGCAGCCTGTCGTCTACCCGGGCGACCCCGACACCTGCATCCGGAACCTGCCTCCGCCCCTGATGATCAAGCTCTCGCGCGAGACTGGCTTCGAGCGCCCGGAGCTGGAGGCCTTCTGGGAGCAGTGGACCTTCATCGCAAACACCGAGTGGCGCGAGGACCCCGACGACCTGGGCCTAGCCATGGACCGCCGCACCTTTGAGCGCTGCCTCGTGCCCTCTGGCGGCTACCGCCACGCCGCGCCCAACCTGATCCACGACCGCATGTTTGCCTTTTACGACACCAACAACGACGACCTCATTGGCTTCTCCGAGTTCCTCCACGGGCTGGCGTACCGGAAGCGCCCCGACAAGCTGAAGCGCATCTTCGAGGGTTACGACGTCGATAGGGACGGCTACGTCGACCGGAGGGACTTCCTGCGCTTGTTCCGCGCCTACTACGTGCTCTTCAAGCAAATGCACAAGTACATCCTCGAGGGCCTCGACGACCAGGTCATGAGCAGCACTGAGGCGCACCAGCTCGTCACCAGCCGACAGCCGCTCAGCAGTCTCTTTGGCAGAGAGGGCAGGGTTCCGGATGCCGATCACGACCGGGTCCAGGAGGGAAAGGTTTTCCATGGCAACGGAGACGTCCGCTTGGCCGGGGGCGGCGAGGGCGCAGTCAACGAGGACAAACCAGATACGTCGGGCCGGGAAGAGATCTTGACGAGCCTCTTCAACCGCGGCAGCCCGCAGCCCTTCTTCGCCGAGCCCATGTTCTCGCCCGACACGGCGGGGCCGCAGTCCCCGCGAGGGGGCGACGCGGGGTCGAGGTACTTTGATGGGCTGCTCAACCCGCCGAGGAGCGCTGCGGAGCTCTCGGCCGTGCTGGACGACCGTCCGCGTAACACGCTGGACAGCTTCCTGCACTACCTCGAGGAGCGCGAGCGTGAGGGGCCAGAGACCAACGGGGACCAGGACGCGGACCCCTGGGCGTCCCACTCCCCCGGCGGCGATCCTTCAGATACGTCCCGACACCTCGACGAGGACTTTGGAAACATGCCCTACCATGCGGACCCGAAACTCTATGACGGAACTCACCGACTGCGGGTCACAAAGAAGACCAGGCTTGCGGCTCGGAAGAAGCTACATGAGCGATGGAAGCGGCGGCAGTTCTACCTCGACGAGGAGGAGGGTGCCAACGCCCCGGAGGGTTGGAATGCCAAGGATGACGTACTTGTGGACACGGCCGAGGCCGAGGCTGCCCACGCCTCCAAGGCCAGCAAGGGTCAGGGTGCAACATGGCCGAGGTCGCGCTCGTCGTCCAAGGTCCGCTTCGCTGAGGAGACGGATGACTACGAAATCCGGTCGAATCCGTCAACCTCGTCTCGCAGCGTACCCGAGCGGTGGGGTGGCATGGAGATCCCAGACGCCGAGAGGGACGCAGGAAAAGAGATCCTGTACCAAGTCACACAGCAGGCCTTCAACGAGCTGCTCGACGTCTTGTTTAAGAAGAAGGAGGATCTGGCAGTCAGGGCCGCCTCGACCCGCGAGGACCGCAGAAGGTACCGAAAATACTTTGAGTCGATCAACCTGGATGAGGAGGATGGGAGGAAGCAGCAGACTCAGGACCAGCCGACCGGCTCCAGCGCGCCCCAGCAAGAGAATCGTGAGGAGAGTGCCCTTGCTCCCAGCCAGGATGCACAGACTATCCCGTCTTCGGATGCTGCAGGGCGCGTTGCGGTGAACGCTCCGCGCCAAGAGGAGACTGTCTTGGCGGACGGCGATGTGGCACATTCAGAAGCAGCGAGCATCTACGAGGAACCTGCAAACATTGAGCAGGACGGCGACACGCCGCCCCAGGCGCAGCAAATCGAAGGCAGTCAGGCCGAGACGGCGCCACGGGACCCGACCATGCCGCAGTTCCGGCCCAACAGCGCCGCGGATCTGGCGCGGTCGGCAGGTACTCCCGGAACCATTCCTCTTGGAGCCTCCAGCGCGGACGCCGAGTCGGAATGCTCGGCCGAGTCGACGTCAGCAGAGGACGCCGAGTCGACAGGGCGGCGGGACGACGAGTCCGACGCCGGCTCGCACAATGGCGAGGAGGACGACGATGAAGACGACGACGCGGCAAACGTGGGCATGTTCCCGCGCTACATGCTCGTCGAGTGGAAGCGGCTAGACCTTGCAGAGCAGGAGCAGAGGCAGCGCGGCGGGTGGGGGAAGCTGTCGTACGCCGAGTTCGAGGAGATATACCGTCGGGAGGAGAGGCACTCGAACCGACTGGACTACCTAGGCAGCTGGATCGACGTTTGCATTCCCTATAGCTAAGTGCATACCCGACAGCCAAAATGCGGAGGCCAACACGGCAGACTGTGTACGATTGGGGCCATGGCCATGCAGTTGGGGGTGTTGTCATTGTGTAAAACAATAATTCAGATTACATTGACAGAAGCTTATTGCTGCGAGTATAGAGTACAGCACAGTTTTGGCCATGATTTGGCCATGATTTGGCCATGAGACTGGGTGTCCCAAAGCAAGCATCAGTCCCCTCTAGGATAGGCACAACTTTCGGCCTGCAGATACAGGCCACGTCAAAGTACCTGTTCTGAACCATGTCGAATGCAAACTTCAAGTCCCTAGAATTGCCCGTCTGGGGGTTCGGCACACAGTCTCGGCACCGTCTGTGGTTTGAAACGCTATCAGGGTGTAAATATATTCCTTCCTCTTCCCCTCTGATCGATGTCTTGTTCCTCTCCGCTTCCAACATCCTCCACGCAACCCTTGCCCCGTCTTACGCCGCCGTGCCCACTTGCCGAGCCAAGGAGGATTCCCTCTTATTGACAAATGACTCCCCATCCAAGAGGCAAGCGCCCCCGTCAGCTCCGACAAAAAATGCCGCTACCCATCAGGAGCGATGAAATGCGGGGTCAATTGCCGGGAACCGAGGGGAACCTGCGGCCGCGAGGGCGATTCTTAAACGGGCTGAGTATCCCTGCGTCATGAGAGATATTGCCCGGGACTTGACGGCATAGGTGGCAGTCGAGAGTGTGCTCTCCACCATGTCAGCAGCACATCTCGCCCTCCCTTTTTAATCGACAAACAACAGCAACCTCGTCCGAGTTTTCTATCAAAAGGCAAAACAAAACATTGGCTGAGGGGAACGGACCCAAGTTACACCAACAAACACACACATAAACAAACAAACACACACCCACACAGCAAAAAATGTCCCCCAACGGCAGCTCATCCTACACGGTGCCCCTCGTCGTGGGCGGCAAGGACCGGCCGTCGGCCACCAGCTTCCCCATCACGTCACCCGAGACGGGCGAGACGCTGCACCAGTGCAGCAACGCCGACGTGGCCGACGCCGAGGCGGCCGTCGAGGCGGCGGCGGCGGCGCTGGAAGGGTGGCGGGCACAGACGCCCCGGGCGCGGCGCGATGTCCTGCTCAAGGCCGTCGCGGCCTTTGACGCGCGGCGCGACGAGCTCTTGGGCTACATGCAGGCCGAGACGGGCGCGACGGCGCAGTGGGCCGGCCTCAACCTCGACGTGGCGCGCGACATCATCACCGACGTGGCCGGGCGCATCTCGTCCCTCGAAGGGCTGGCCCCCGCGACCCAGGACCCGGGCGTCGGGGCCATAGTCCGGAAGGAGCCGTACGGCGTGGTGCTGGCCATGGCGCCCTGGAACGCCCCCTACATCCTGGGCGTGCGGGCCGTGGCGCTCCCGCTGGCGGCGGGCAACACGGTCGTGCTCAAGGGCAGCGAGCTGTCGCCGCGCACTATGTGGGGCATCGTCTCGGCCTTTGCCGACGCGGGCCTGCCGGCCGGCGCGCTCAACGTCGTGTTCTCGTCGCGCGACAACGCCGCCGCCGTCACGGGCGCGCTCGTCGCCCACCCGGCCGTGCGCAAGATCAACTTCACGGGCAGCACGGCCGTCGGCCGCATCGTGGGCCGCCTGGCGGGCGAGAACCTCAAGCCGGTCCTGCTTGAGCTCGGCGGCAAGGCCCCCGCCGTGGTGTGGGAGGACGCGGACCTGGACCTGGCGGCCGACCAGTGCGCACTCGGCGCCTTTTTGAACGCGGGCCAGATCTGCATGTCGACGGAGCGCGTGGTGGTGCATAAAAAAGTGGCGGCCGAGTTTAAGGCCAAGTTCGCCGCCAGCGCGAACCGCTTCTTCGCCCCGGGGGGCCCCGCGCCCGTGCTGGTGCAGGCGCAGGGCGTGGCGCGCAACCGGGCCCTGGTGCGCGACGCGGTCGCCAAGGGCGCCGAGGTGGTGCTAGGCGATGCCGAGGAGGGGGAGGGGGCGGGAAGCGAGAACCAGATGCGGCCCGTGGCGCTCGCGGGCGTGACGCCCGACATGGACATCTACCGCACCGAGAGCTTCGGCCCGACCGTGTCGCTGTTCGAGGTCGAGAGCGAGGACGAGGCCGTGCGGCTGGCCAACGACACCGAGTACGGCCTGTCGGCGGCCGTCTTCACCGAGGACCTGCGCCGGGGCCTGCGCATCGCGGGCAGGATCGAGTCGGGCGCCGTGCACATCAACAACATGACGGTCCACGACGAGCCGGGCTTGCCGCACGGAGGGGCAAAGTCTAGCGGGTTCGGACGGTTCAACGCCTCGGGGCTGGAGGAGTGGGTGAAGACCAAGGTTGTGACGTACAGGGTATGAGATGGGGAGGGGACACGATAGAAGAGAAGGTTGATGAGACGCAAGCGATCTAGGTATTTGCTACTAGCTATCTACAAAATGCGGTGCCCGCGGATGTGCGCACACAAGTCGGTGGTGCGACCGTCCAGGGGCTAAACTCCCTAAAGATAGAACCTCCGAAGGTGAGCTGTCAAGCGGGGAAACCAAAGGGTAGACTCAATGGGCGAAATCCGAGCTCTATTCACACGCAAGTGGAGCCGAGAGGGTTCCCTTCAAGCCATCTAAAGAAAGCGTCGGATATGGAGCGACGGAGAAATAACAGGACATAGCAGGGGGGTCCATCCCATGTCCCGGCTCAAGAACCGACGCGATCACGATCCGGCGTGAGAAGAAAAAAGACGGTGGGAGCATCAACAGCCGATGGACGGATCTCGGGGTGTGTCAGGGCGCACAGCCGAGCGCTCGTGCGTCTTCACATCTCTTTCTTTTACTTCTCTTTTTGTCTCTTACCCTTATTTGTCTTGTTCCCCCTCCATCCCGTGACGCCCAAGACACGGACGACCCTCGACGCTGCAGCCTCCCGTTGGGCAGACCCGGAGGGCACAGCCGCCGAAAAGGGAGAGGAGGAGGGTCAGGCTATGCTGCCGTGTCACATTTGTGACGGCGGCTTGCGCAGCGTTGGACCATGTGACGTTGTAAGAAGGCGAGCAGTGTTGGTCAAGATAAGCGAGGGCAGTGCTAGGGTTGGGTGGTCTACGAGTGTCATTAACGCTCAAATTGACGTAGAATATAAAAAAAATAAAAGTTCACGTTCTTCTCCGCTTCAAGTACCTACTCTACAGCTAAATTCGGCACGTAGGGAGGTACCTATATAAGCGCCACTCAGCAGCCGCGCTTGTGCCCGCCTCCACAAGCTCCTGTACAGCCCTTCCTCTGCTGACCAGCAAGTCTGGGTTGCACAGCAGCCAGGGTGGGGTTGCAGCTTGTGCGATGCAGCCTAGACGAGGAAGCACACGCACACAGACATCAGAACGACCGGCCCCCTCGGAAGGACCCAGGTGGGGATGTGTGGCAGTCGAGGGCGGAAATTCAGCGCACGATATCAGACCGAGACCTACAGATCTTGGTGGCGCGCCTACCCGTTTAAAGATCCAGCCGGCTCGCGCCCAGGACACAGAGGTAACCGGGAAATCGGGGCAGCGGGCGCTCTCTCCTTGTCTCTCCCCCCCTCATGGGGCGCACGCATACGAGGGGAGACGGGAGGAGAGAGAGGGCGAGAGCAGGGCGGTTGAAGAGAAGGAAAGCTGCATTGTCTCAGACCTCTTGCCGCTCTTTCTTCTCCGATCCCGTGCCTTCCGGGCAGATTTTGACCGCTCTGTTGAGGTTTGCGACCCGCGATGAGGATGGCTGTCTGGCCTGAACAGGATCGAGTGCTGCACAATCAGATGTCCTGCCTTTGATACTGGACGCAAGGGAGAACAGCTCTCCTTCCTGCACAAGAATTCTATCACACAAAGGCCAAGGTTCAAGCCATGGCGTGTGCCGTGGCGTGGAGTTGAAGGCTTGGTAATAGGTATGACCGAAAACGGTTTGTGCAGCCTGGCTTGGGGTGGCCCAGCCCAGCCCGCCAGACAAATCTCTCGCGAAACCTTGCAAACAGTCCATCCTGCGGCCACCTGTCTTCCAGCTGCTGATAAAAAATCCCGGCACCTCGCATCAGAGGACGGTAATCCATTCTGCGGCGGTCAACAGGCGGGGGAGCCTGCAAGGGATCATGGGCGCGAGGGAGAGCTCGCGAGGCCTTCCTATTTCGGTCAGCGACCGCCACCTGGTGTGGTGGGTACCTACCTATGTGATGGAGCTCGCATTAGCAAGAGGCCGTGTGGTCGGCTAATGGCAGGATCCGGGGCTTGTTTTCGGACCGTTCGCTGTCGTCGAGGTCTAGATCGGGAGGGAAGAGCGCGGATGGGGGACGATCGAGGCTGCCTTGAGATGGGGCGAACTGAAGAGGCAGGTATGTTGGGTACATACCTACCTACTCTCTGGACCTACTAACCAGAGGCGTAGATAAAAGGACGGCTTGGGTCCCTTGATATTCGCCACCTTGATCGTAGCTGCCATCCACGACATGAGCACTCCCACCACCTCCCGCTCAACATTGACGCAGCATTGATTTTTGATTGCAAAACGAGAGGGGCGTCACTTCCTCTACATCACCCTAGCCAAAATGTCGCCAACACACTTTTCGCTGGATGTTGGCGGTGGGGTGCTCTCACACGTGAGCCTTGTGCACGTTGCCCTCTTGGCCGCCAGTCTTGTAAGCCTAAGCACGAAACACGCACTAGAGAGGGGCCATCTGTGTGTGTAGTAGCAGCCCAGAATGGAGCAGCCCAGAACTAACACGACCCAGTGCGTCGCAATACCGGCCTACACCTTCATCTACAACGTCTACTTCCACCCCCTGGCCGGCTTCCCCGGACCGGCGCTGTACGGCGGGTTCGAGTGCGTCAAGGTCTACCAGCAGGTGACGGGCCGCATCAACGAGCGGCTGCACGAGCTGCACGAGGCGTACGGCGACGTGGTGCGCGTGGCGCCCTGGGAACTCTCGTACACGAGCGCGGGCGCCTGGCACGACATCGCGGGCGGCAAGGGGGGCGGCGTGCCCACCAACCCGGCCTACGGCCTGCGCGAGCGCGACTTCTACGGCGCCCTGGGCCTGCTCTGGCTCGGCAGCGACGGCCACGCCCGCCACCGCCGCATCCTGAGCCCGGCGTTTTCCGACCGGTCGCTGAGGGAGCAGGAGCCCGTGGTGGCAAAGTACGTCGACCTGCTGGTCCGCCGCATGCACGAGAAGGCCGGGTCCGTGGTCGACATGTGGGCGTGGGCCAACTTTACCACGTTTGACATTATCGGGGACCTGACGTTTGGGGAGCCTTTTAACTGTCTTGAGGAGTCGAGGTGAGCATGGCGTGTTTTTCTTTTTCTCCTTCTCCGACCATGTACCTACATAACATGGACTAACAAAGCCCTAACCCCACCCAGATTCCACCCCTGGATCTTCTTCCTCTTCTCCCGCCTCAAGATGATGATGTACGGCCAGATCGTCATGACTATGGGCTACTTGGGCATCCTGATGGAGGTCCTGGTGCCGCGGCGGCTCCGACACGAGGCGGACGAGCACGTGCGCTGCACCAAGGATAAGGTCGACCGGCGCCGCGAGCGCGCCGCCGCCGCCGACGACGCGCACCGGCCCGACTTTATGACGCACATCCTCAAGCACGTCACGGACACGCTGGGCCCCGGCAACGACTCCAAGGCTGGCGACGGCAGCATGACGCTGTCGGAGCTCTACGCCAACTGCCAGACGCTCGTCATGGCCGGGTCCGAGACGTCGGCGACGCTCATCTCGACGGCGGTGCACAGCCTGCTGCGCGAGCCGCGCGCCATGTCCCGGCTCGCGGCCGAGGTGCGCGGGGCCTTTGCGGCCGAGGCCGAAATCACCCCGCTGACGGCGGCGTCCCGCCTGCCGTACCTGCACGCCGTCATCAGCGAGTCGCTGCGCGTACGGCCGCCGCTCCCCGCCGGCATCCACCGCCGCGTCGGCCCCGGCGGCGCCACGGTGCAGGGCCACTTCGTGCCCGAGGGCACGAGCCTGCAGGTCACGCACTGGGCCGCCTACCACTCGAGCCGCAACTTTGCCGAGCCGTGGGCCTTTGCGCCCGAGAGGTGGCTCCCCGGAAAAGGAGACGCGGCGGCAGCGCGCTTCGCGGCTGACAACAAGGCCGTCTTCCAGCCCTTCAGCGTCGGCACGCGCGCCTGCCTCGGCAGGGGGTTGACGTACCTCGAGACGCGGCTGGCGCTGGCCCGGCTGGTGTGGAACTTTGACATGGAGCTCATGCCCGAGAGCGAGGACTGGGACGACCAGAGGGTCTGGATGCTGTACGAGAAGAAGCCGCTGAACGTGAAGCTGACGGCGGTAAGGAGGGACTGATGGTGAAGAGAGGGTGTGGAGCTGTTGAATGGGTGTTTGATAGGTCTGATATTTGAGCCATAGGCAGAGAGGTAGAGCCGGCATACAAAGCGTTGTCTTCTGTGCCCTTATTTGGCTTCACGTGAGCGTATATAAGCAACAAGTCGACCATGTACCTAAGCCCATGTGCATCGTAACTCGTGAAAATAAAAACTGAAACGAGATGTCTTGTTTCGCCCTGCAGAGTGTGTGCCCAACACAGTGAATACAAGAGATAACCAGCAAGGAGGTGTGCAACAAGCAAGTGGCGTGACACCTTGTCCAATGGCTGTTCCGTTGTTGCCCCAGCCGTGCGCAATCGTGGCCGCATCACAAAACAGTGGCATAAAACCCGAGCGCCGCAGACGAGATCAGCAAGGCGCAGCGACCAAGATTAAGCATCCCCCAGTGGTCGACCAGGAACCTGCTGGACTCGGGCTCATCAGCCGGCCTCACTACGTCCTCGTCCTCGTCCCCGGCAGCGGCCGGCCCCAGGGCGCTGGCTAGCTCGGCGCGGCGCAGCAGCTTGCGGTTGGTGGGCAGGACGAGCAGGACCGTGTAGGGCACGATGGCGGCGGCCAGCGCGGCGGCGCCGGCGTAGCAGTAGCGGGCGGCCGCCGGACGCGACGACGACGACGACGACGACAGGGCGGCCAGCGCCGCGAGGCCCAGCGAGCAGAGCAGGTCGGCGGGCAGGAGGGCGTCGCGGGCGCGCGCCATGTTGCGCGCCCACAGGCGCAGCATCAGCGGCGTCGGCGCGTCGAGCAGGAGCGGCACCGTGAAGATGGAGCCCGCGAGCGTGGCCCCGCTCGCGGCCGAGACGGCGAAGAGGGTCGCGGCCTGCAGGGCCTTGGCCGTCGTCTCGGCCGAGGGGGTGGGGGACGGCATGATGTGGGGGTGTGTGTGTGTTGGGTATGTGTTTGTGTTTTGTGCTTGTGTGTGGATGTGTTTACCTGGTAGGTAGGTTGTATCTCTGTGTTTGGGGCCGTCGTGAAACAAGCACACTACGCTGGGCTAGTGATGCTACAGGAGCTAGTGACGCCATGTTAGGAGGGGTCAAGATGCAAGATGGGAGACTAGGCCCGAGGATCCCCCACCACACATTTCCATAATCCCCGCTGCCCTCTCCGCCACACCATCAAAGAGCATCCAGCTCGCTTAGCTCAGTTGGTTAGAGCGTCGTACTAATAATGCGAAGGTCGCCAGTTCGACCCTGGTAGTGAGCAGCATTATAAGGTCCCCAGCAATCCGGTTCAAGCTCCGGGTAACACTTTTTGGTGTTGATGGCTGATGATCGTGGCTTGGCCCTTCTTTTGCCCAGCTTCCTTTGCCAGTCCATTGACATTCCAAGTCGCCCCGTTCGGCTGCTTGGGATTCTTTTAGGATCATGTATGCAGTTGATAAACGATAATACGCTGACTCGATCCTCTTGACCAACCAAGATGGCATGTGACTTTCGACGGCTTAGAATTTTGAAATGTTGATTTAGACCTTGCTATATTTTTAGTGCATAAAATCCATATCATATACAGTTTTCCCTATTTGCCTGGCGCAAAGCCAAGAGATTAGTCCCACGTTAGCCATCGGTGGCTGGCAGCCTAGGCCTGCGCCTCAATCCACCAGAAGCCCAGTGCTAGCCGTGCATCAACAGCTTGGCGGCCAGGGGCTCTCTTTTTTTCATTGACAGCAACCGACAGCCAACGCTCCGCTCCATGTAGTCTCTCCCCCCATGTAGTCTCTCCCCCATGCTGGAAACGAGCCCTGCATCTCTCCCAGCAGGCACCCTACTCGGCAGGCGTTGCTGAACACCAGTGGCCCCCCTATTCCAACGCAACCGCCGTCGACAAGAAGCACGACACGACCAATGCCCGCCACGGGCCCGTCCTCGCCCGCGGCCGGCCAGTCGTCGACCCCGCCGCCGAACGCCGCCATGGTGTACCGCCCGACGTCCCCGGACCACGAATCACAGCGCCTCATGGCCGACAGCAGCAGCAGCAGCGGCCGATACGACGACCACGACGATGCCGGCCGCCGCCGCTCGCTGAGGCTGCGCTTCCACCTGGTCCACTGGCTGCGCCTGCTCGTCGCGTTCCTGAGCGTCGCCAGCGTCTGCCTGACGGCCGGCGGCGACACGCTGATCCCGGCCGCCATCCCCGTCTTCGTCTTCGCCACGCTCTCGACCGCCTGGAACGGCGCGATCCTGTTCGGCTGGGCCTTTTGCCACGGGCGGGGCCGCGGCGGCCGCCGCCGCCTGCGCTGCCTGTGCCTGAGGCTGCCGGTCTGCCTGTGCCAGCTCGGCGCTTGCAGGATCGGCTGCGGCGACGACGACGAGGCGGGCGATGGCCATGGTGGCGGCGGCGACCTCGAGGCGGCGGCGGCGGCGGAAAAGAACGAACTGCTGCCGCGGCTAGCAGCCAAGGCGCTCTGGGTCGTCGACCTGCTCTTCGCCGTCCCGTTCCTCATCTGCCCTGCCATCTACAATGCCCAGGCCGAGCTGTTTTGGTGGGCGAGATACAACAGGGAGAAGCTGATGGCCTTGAACTTTATCATTTGGCCTATTTCGTAAGTCGGGGTCCCGCCTCCCCAGCTTGTGTCACTCGTTCGATCATGATCTGTGTCTGACCCCAGTGGTTTTTTTTTGTTATAGCGTGCTGTTCCTCCTTATCGCCGCCCTCCAACACACCCGCCTCGGCCGCGGCGTCACCATCACCATAACGCCCGACGACCCGGTCCATGATTCGTACAGGCCCCGGGCCCGATCACCGAGGCGCTCCCCGCCATGAGCCGTTTTGGCGCAAGGAACGCGTCGTCCCCCCGCATTGTCTTATCGAATATACAATGCCATAACAAGATGATATAGATGTTGGATTAGAGACAGGAGAGCATAATCGGCTCGGCCTTGGAGGCTTCTTTGGATAGCGATAAAGTATAGATACACCCAGAGGCGATCATCTGGAACCGTCGTATCTGCAGATTGGACAGCGACTCGTTGGACAACCTAGCATGGATTTTAAAGCACTTAATTTTCTACCTAGTTACCCGCCAGGCTACACACCACCCCTTTGGATATCTACCTACCCACCCAACGTGCCACTGAGTTGAGACATGTAAAACCACCCGGGTAATCACGCACACCTCTCCCAAAAGTCCAGGCTGGTCAGGATCGAGGTCAAGAGCATGGCCGAGCTCACACTCAGCGGGTCCAGCGGAACCCACCCCAGCGCGCTGCCCGGCAGCGCAATGTCCGCCAGGTCCGCCACCATCTTCCTCAGGCACACCCTCCTCTTGGCCGCGTTGGCCTGCTGCGCCGCCCTGACCTTTGCCTTTTCCTCCTCCCTCCTCTTCCCCCGCTCCTCCTCCTCCTCCCCCTCCTTCTCGCCCACAACATCACCCCCAAGCCCAGCAGCAGCAGCAGCCCCCGTCCCGGGCACGGCCTCGGCCCCATAAGTGCCCAGCACCTTGAGCGCCCCCGACGCCGCGCTGCACGCCAGCGCCAGCAGCCAGAAGCGCTGCGCCTCGACGGCCAGGGCGCCGCCGGTCTCGGGGCCGAAGACGCGCGGCAGGTGCGGCACGCCCAGCGCGTCGGGCAGCGTCGCCGTCTCGAGGAGGTAGTACATGCCGTTGAAGCCGCGCGCCGAGATGTCGAGCCAGAGCTCCAGCGACTTGCCCGTTGTTGTCGTGGACGAAAAATAGAGCTTTTGCGCCCCGTGGAAGGCCTCGGCGAACCGGAAGAGCCGCAGCACCCGCCGCGTCGTGTTGAGCCGCCCGCGCAGGTCGCCCAGCATGGCCACCGTGTCGGCCACGGCGAGCGGCGCCGGGCCCTTGTCGCCGCCGGTTCCGGGGCCGGGGCCCGCCCCCGCCGCCTGGTGCGGAAGGCTGTTGATGTGGTCCGTGAGGCGGAGGGAGAGCAGGGGCACAGCGACGACGATCTGGATGATGGCCTGGACGAGACGCAGTATACGTTCGAGCCCGACTGTTTTTTTGTTTTTTTTTGGGGATTTTTTTGGAGGGGTCAGTCGGTCCAATACAAACGCCACCCATCAATAGGAATGCCACTCACAGGCGTCAGTGCTGAACCGAACTAGCCGCTCAGCGGTCGAGCTCATCGTTCCGGGCGGATAGCTACCAGCTGAAACAGACGAGATGAAAAAATCGAGTTTGGATGAAAAAGAATTACCGAGAACGATCAAGGGTGAGGCGAGACGTGATATCCAAACAGGGACGACGCAGCCAAAGATGCATTATTATACCAAAAGTGGCTGGTAGACACAGGCGTTTCATGCCGATTCACGCCCTCCTTGCCCGCCGCACAAAAATCCACAGCGGCCGAAATCAGCGGTGAGCATACCCGTCCGTAGGTCACCCCTCCATCCATAGAAATACGTGGTCAGCCACTTGCTTGCCCTCGGGACATGTGGGCATGAACAGCTGTCAGCCTATCGAACCGGATCTCGCATTAGGCACAGATTATAGTGCCCATGTGGGAGCAAGCCGACCCATCATCCCCTCCCCTCGTTTCCCATGCCTTTCGACCTCGAGCAAGGATGGGCTTCCAGTGGCAGATATCCGACAATACCACCACCTGCATCTACGCTCCGGCTTCCTCACATCAGGGAACCACGCAGGGAACTGCACAGCCATAGGTTAAAGAAATACCAGCATGCCCACCAAACAATGAGAAAACATTCAAAGAAACTTGATAGCAAGTAAATACACCCACCCATCACCCGCCCCTATTCCCCGGCACCTGGCACCAAGGCGTCGGGCTCCACGTATGTTCAAACGACGAGGCTTTCGCACCTGTTATGTTCTGTTTTGGCCCCTCACATGCGACAGCTCTGGAAATGCATTGTGAAAATCTTGCAAGCGGCACGCACGGGGCATGGCTGGCTTGCTTTTTTGTCAACTCCGATCCCGAGGCTTTGATACAGGAGCACACCTGGGTAGTTCTATTTTGTATCTACCCGTTTGATGCAGCGCACACCCTGCTGCGTTTATTGCCCCGGAGCTACAAGCTTGCCCTGCTGCCTCGCGTCGTGGTTCCAGCCGCCAGCCAGCGCCGCTCCGCCCGAGTGCTGTGCGTAGTCTGCCATCCGCTTCTCCAGCTCGGGGCGGAAGTGGCGGATGAGACCCTGGATGGGCCAAGCAAAGGCCTCTCCCAGAGCTGCATAGTAAAAAAGAATAGTTAGTAAGTGATATAAATGCGACCAAATCGCCGCCAAAACGTACCGCAGATGGTGTGCCCCTCGACCTGCTTGGTCAGCTCCTGGAGCATGTCAATCTCGCGCACGCGGCCCTGGCCGTGCTCGAAGCGGTGCATGATCTGCTCGGTCCACTTGCTGCCCTCGCGGCAGGGCGTGCACTGACCGCAGCTCTCGTGACGGTAAAAGTGCGACAGGCGGGCGATGGCCCGCACCACGTCGGTGCTCTTGTCCATGACGATGACGGCCGCCGTGCCCAGGCCCGACTGGCTGTCCTTGAGCGCGTCAAAGTCCATCAGCTGGTCGTCGCACACGTTCTTGGGCAGGATCGGGGTCGACGAGCCGCCGGGGATGACGGCTAGCAGGTTGTCCCAGCCGCCGCGGACGCCGCCGCAGTGCTTGTCGATCAGCTCGCGCATCGAGATGGACATCTCCTCCTCGACCGTGCACGGGTTGTTGACGTGGCCGCTGATGCAGAAGAGCTTGGTGCCCTGGTTGCGCTCGCGGCCGAAGCCGGCGAACCATGAGCCGCCGCGCCGGCAGATGGTGGGCGCCACCGCCACCGTCTCGACGTTGGCTACCGTCGACGGGCAGCCGAAGAGGCCGACGGCGGCGGGGAAGGGCGGCTTGAGGCGCGGCTTGCCGGCCTTGCCCTCGAGCGACTCGATCAGCGACGTCTCCTCGCCGCAGACGTAGGCGCCGCCGCCGCGGTGGATGTAGACGTCAAAGTCGTAGCCCGACCCGCACGCGTTCTTGCCGATCAGGCCGTCGGCGTAGGCCTCGTTGATGGCCTGCTGCAGCACCGCCGCCTCGTGTACGAACTCGCCGCGGATGTAGATGTAGGCCGCCGTCGCGTTCATGGCCCGCCCAGCCACGAGGCAGCCCTCGATAAGCTTGTGGGGGTCCTTGCGCATGATCTCGCGGTCCTTGCACGTTCCGGGCTCGCCCTCGTCGGCGTTGACCACCAGATACCTCGGCTTGGTGTCCTTGTCCCAGTCCTTGAAGTTCATGAAGGACTGCCCGGTCCAGAATCGTTAGCTCCCCGAGTCCATACCCCTTGGCCATACCCCCCGGCCGCAGCCTCGCAGCCCACCACCAACGTACCCATTTCAGGCCCGAAGGAAAGCCGGCTCCTCCTCTCCCTCGCAGGCCCGAGGCCTTGATCTCGCCAATGATCCAGTCGTGGCCCTTCAATATTATCTCCTTTGTCTTGTGCCAGTCGCCCATCTTCTTGGCCGACTTGAGGTCGGGCGGGTACCGGCCGTACAGGTTCTGGAAGATGCGGTCCTGGTCCCGCAGGCCGCCGTAAGTGCGCTTGGCCGGGGCGGCATCCTGGACGGTGGCGAAGGACCTTGTCGTCGTCGTCGACGGCTGCTGCTGGGCGTGGACGGCGGCGGCGGCGGCAGCAGCAACGGGGCGGGTCACGGCCCGCGACAGCGCCGTCGAGGGTGCCGCCGTTGTTCTCGACAGCATCGTTGGTGGCGGGGTTCTGCTCGGCCGGGCAGCGATTGAGGGGGGTCAATGGCCTGCTGGCGGCTGGGTGTCGTCGATCGTTCGGAGAGTCGCAAGCAAATTGATTTGCCGAGATCCATGAGGTTTGGCCTGGAATTGAGGCACTTTGCTTGGAGATGGGAATCCCGCACGCGCTGATTGGTGGGCTGGTAGGGTGTGGGGCAGTGGCGCTGTTCATGGCGAGCTCCTGAGCTCCATTCAACGGTTGCCGCCCGTAAGGAGCTTCCATCGCAGCAAACGGCCGCCAATACAGCTACAGCTGCTAGTCTTGATTCATGGAAGGCAGTTGAGCCATCGACCTGGTGCTGCGGCCAGGACCTAGGAAGGCCACCCAGTCAAACACACTCCAGCTCACTTCGCATCCAATTCCGCCTCGCCGACTCCCCTCCCTACCTCCCCAGCACCCCCAGCCCAGCCCGACGGCAAACATGTCCTCCTCCTCCAACAAGCGCCGCTCTGTCATGCCGGCCGCCGCCCAGGCCGGCCCCAAGGCGCCCGTCATCTTCTCGTCGAGCATCACCATCGCCGACCAGGCCATGCTCTCGGGCGCGTACCCCATCGCCGTGTCGTCCGAGTCGGTCGTGCACCCGCGCGCCCGCTTCGACAGCGCCGGCGGGCCCGTCAACGTAGGCCGCCGCTGCATCGTCCACGAGCGCGCCGTGCTCGGCGCCCCCAGCGCCGGCAACCACTACGTCGAGGGCTCCGTCACCCTGGCCGACCTGGTCACCGTCGAGGCCGCCGCCGTGGTCGAGTGTGGGGGCACGTATGTTGGCGAGGGCACCACGGTTGGCGTCGGCTGTCGGATCGGAGCCGGCGCGTCTATTGGCAAGGTTCGTCCCTTTTTTTTCTGTCTCTCTTTTCCTACTTGCATATCTTTGCTCTCACGACCACCTGGCTGACAGTCTCTGGTTGCAAACGACAGCACTGCACCCTCACACCCATGTCCGTCGTTGTGTCGGGCGAAAAGGTACCAGACTTCACCGTCATATACTCCAACGGCATGAGGCGTATCGACAAGAGGAACATGCAAGGGCTCAGGAACCCCGTACAGTCCAGGCACATTGAGGTACTCAGGAGGCTGATACCAAGCAACCCGGCAAAGTTCCAGTAAACGCCGGGCCTGCCCGGCGATATGCCATGCACTGTTCTGTATAAACTGGATCGTAGCGTCATGGGCCTAGACCATCTCGAGTAACAGGTGATCAAAGAGCATACGAGTAAATAAATGACTATAAACGCCAGATTCCCAACCTTGTAGATAACGAAAAGAGAAATTTCCACCAAAAAAACAATAGAACAGTCAACCCGCTCCAGATGTGTCCATGCTTTTCTCTACCTTTCCAGACACCTACCCAGAGCGATCAAATCCAAGCCAGTATGCGTGTGCCCCCTATAACAGCCCTGTCATCTAGTGGTTGGGTCGTAGGCCGATGCTTGCATCCCCGACCAGCCCGTCTCGCTCGAGGCTCGTCTCATCCCGGTGGTACCAAACGCCGCGCATTATGTGCATAGGTTCCCAGATATCATGAGAACCTTTCCTTCCAGTCCATAGCTCGCCGTCGTTCCCTCCGACAGTGAAATAAAATAAACGAGGCCGCGCAGCCTACCATGGCCTCGCCCAAGTCCCGACTGGACGGCTCACAGGTAGCGCGACTTCATCCACTCGCTAGTGCCCAGGCCCAGGTTGAGGCCGTTCTCGGCCCACCAGCGGCGGACGCGCGTCTGGTCGCCCAGCGAGTCCTCGAGCGCCTCCTCGATGTCCATGGTGCGGTACTCGACCTTCTTGGCGGGGCGGCCGCCCATGCCGGGCAGCTCGCCGCGGGCGTAGAGGCGCCACCACTCGAGCACGTCGATGTACGAGTGCACCGTGGGCTCGACGAGAACCTGCGCGTTGAAGATGATGTCGTCGTCGCCCCGCAGCTGCCGCCACGTCTCGAGCACGTCGGCCCGGCCCTTTTGCGACGCCTTCATGCACACCCCGTCCAGGTGCTCCACCGTCATGCCGCTCGCCATCCACCACCGCAGCACCTCAGTCTGCCCCGTCTGCGCCGCGCACGTGAGCGACCGCCCAGGCTTGGGCACCACCACCGCGGCCGCCACGCCGCTGCCGCTGCCGCTGCCGCTATCGTCGTCTGTGCCGCTCCCGCCACCCGCTGCCGCCTGCCGCCACCAGTCCAGCACGCGCAGGTGGCCCCTAGCGCTGGCCTGCTCGAGTGCGGCCTCGGTGTACTTGAGCGGCAGTCCGGAGCGGCGCCACCACTCGAGGACGTGCACGTAGCCGTTGCGGGACGCGCCGTCCATGGCCTCGGCGTCGTACTGCTTCTCCAGGAAGGACGGCGAGCGGGCCCACCAGTCGAGAATATCGGTGCGGCCATAGTAGGCAGACGCCTTTGTGGGCACCGTCTTGCCGTCAAAGTTGCGGAACACGATGGGGCAGTGGCCCTCGATGTAGGTCAACACCCCGATGAGGGCGAACTTGAAGATGAGCTTGATGGCCAGTGCCGACAGGTCCGCCAGGTTGGCGGGCGCGCCCTCCAGGAACCTGCATACGGCCGCCGTGTCGGCCGTCAGGAGCTTCCACTCGAGCTGGTGCATGAAGACATGCAGCGGGTCCGACGGGTCCTTGGGCGCGAGCCGCCACCCCTGCATCGTCGGCATCTCGAGAGTGGTGAAGACGCCCAGCGACTGCGCCAGCTCCCAGTCGTTGGTGTGCTCCAGGATCAGGCCCCAGATCTCGGGCGGCAGCGTCGTGCGCGTCTTTGCGCCGCCGTTGCCGCCCTGTGACGGCGACGGGGACAGGGCGTCCTCGGTGCCCGCGCTGCCGCCGGCGCACTTGGCGGCTGAGACGTCGACGTCGTGGCCCATGGTCAGCAGGTCGGCCTGGTTCTTGACGATGCCGAGGACGTCGTCGAGCCCCGACCACTCCTCGACGACGCGCTTGAAGTAGGGGGCCGCGTCCGTGTGCTCGTAGCGCCATAGGATCGGGGGCAGGACGCGGACCCAGTGCCACTTGCGGTGCAGCTTGCTCATCTGGCGCTTGGTGACGGGGTTCTCCCACATGGTGGTGGACATGCCCGGCACCAGCAGGATGCGCTTGGAGGCGTCCCAGCTGCGCAGCACCTCGAGGATCATGGTGTCCGAGTGGCCGCCCATCATCTTGGCCAGGTGGTCGGCGTCGATGGGGCACAGGACCATCAGGTCGGCCCACTCGACCAGCTCGACGGCGCGCCGGTGCCGCAGCTCCATCTCGGCCCGAGTGGCATCGTCGGCACGCTCGGGGGACAGCGCCAGGCTGTAGTTGAGCTCGACGGCCAGGGTCTGGTTCAGGCGCGGGGTCGCATCGTCCACGATGACGCGGATGGCGATTTTGGGGTCCTTGGACAGGCGGATGGCGATGGTCTGGCAGAAGGACGTGTCCCGCGAGCCGTTGGCCACGACCAGGAGATGCAACCTCGAGGAGCGGCTGTTCATCTCGACGAGGGAGTTGCTGGAGGGGGGAACGGCGATGTTTGCGGTCCTCGCAGAGGTCACAGAGGGTGGTGGCTCATCGGCACTGGAGGTCCCGCCATTGTCCATGGTCTGTTGGAATAAATCCTGATGGACGGTACAAGCTCGGATTCTCTGGGCTGGGGAGGCTGGGGAGGCCCCGGATTCCGCCGACTTTTCGTCGTGCTTGCTCTGTGGCTTGAGTTGAGTGACAAGGTTTGACCTCCCTCCAGGACAGTTCCTCCGCTTTGCAATGTCTCGACAGGCGCGCGAGTTTAAATCAGCGGGATCCAGAGGGTTTCGTTGGCGCAACGCAATCTTGGGGTTTTGCAGTCTCGAAGCGGTGGCGGCGCCAGCACGAAGGTCCTAGTCCTGGTTGGTTTACCCGATGCGCTGTCCTGCAGCGACAATCCTGTTGCGAGATGGTTCGATTTGCTGCAGGTTGGTGGGGGTGCCGGAAAAAAGGGGGATCGGAAACGCAGCTGTCCCTGGTGGCAGGGAAGGGACTCAGCTGTCGAGGTTTCGAGACCCCGTCACGGAGAAGACCGTCCGTCTGGACTTGGATGTCTAGTCTTGGATGAGCCACGAGACACACGGCCAGTTGAGCCGAGATGGATTTGCGCTTTGACTCGGCTCTGCGGGCGCTGTCAGCCGAATTTCTCCGCGTACAATCCGGGGTACAAATTGCGTGCAAGAGAGGATGCAAAAGAGCATGGAAAAGAGTATGGAAAAACGAGGCGCTATGTTTGGCTGACGTCTGCTGTGGGCCTACTGGGAAAATGGAAGGGCGGGCGGCGGGCAAGGCGCTTCTGGAAAAACTGGATGCATCACGGCCCAGCATGGGGTGCCAGACCCCCTGTCAGCATCCCCATAGCCCCTGTATTTTGCGGGGAGCATCGTTGCGGCCGTTCTGCGCGGGAACACGGCGGAAACTCCACCGCCAAAACTTAATTCAGAGGAGCGGTCACGGCGTCGTCTACTGCTGAGGTGCCCGTCACTCTTTGGTCATCTCACCAGAGGTGTTCTTTCTCCTCCAATCACAATCTTCATAATCACGCAGCTCACAGCTTCACCTGCTGTAGCTTCCAAAGTCAGATCATGTCAGGTCCACAGCTTGAAGCTCAAGTAAAGCTTATTCCCCGCTGTCGACGAACGAGACCATGTCCAGCTAGGTACCTATGGAATATCGGATAAAATAGGGACACTTGTCTGCCTGCAGCTTTCCCGGCCAGACAGGGAGCCAATAGATGGTTCTGTGGAGGTCCTAGTGTATGTACTATCGGATGTCGTCCTAAAAACCCTAGCCTGGCGGCCCGGCCCGGAATCATGCCATCAAGCGGGCACTAGAGTCCGAAGACGGCATACATCGATGATCCCTCCCCCGACGCCGGTCATACTCTCCTCCCATCGGCACTCCGGATCTCGGCAGGCTAGACAGGCTGTTGGACATAAACTCTGGGGACTCGTACTACTCGCTTGGGCTCTGAACCCCGATTGTAGAAACAGCGGAGTCGGCAGGCGGGGTGTACATCTAGTAAAGATGACTGAAACCAAGCCACCGCCCGCCCTCGCCAAGAGCGACGCCGTCGTCATCGTCGGCGCTGGCATCTTCGGGCTTAGCACGGCCCTGCACCTCGCGCAACGCGGCTACACCAACGTCACCGTGTTCGACAAGCAGCCGTACCACGAGACCCTCTACTCGTACTTCAAGGGCTGCGACGCCGCCTCGGCCGACCTGAACAAGATCGTCCGCTCTGCGTATGGCACCCAGACCGAGTACCAGGAGCTGGCCCTCGAGGCCGCCCGGGGCTGGGAGGCCTGGAACGCCGACCTCGCGGCGGGCGGTCCCGACTCGGTCCCTCCCGGCATGTCCTCCGCTGACCGGGTCTTTATACGGAACGCCAACGTCTCCCTGTCCGACGGCGACTCGCTCCCGGCCTTCGAGCGGGCCACCCTCGAAGCCGCCAAGGCGGCGGGACACGCCGGCACGCACCTGCTGACCACGGACCCGCACGACGTCGCCCTCGCCGAGGCCCTGGGCCTCGCCTTCGCCGTCGACCCATTCAATCACCGCGCGGGCCGGGGCAAGCGCAGCGTCGGCGTGATCGAGACCACGGGCGGCACCGCCGTCGCGGACAAGGCGTGCCGGTACGCCCTGCACCGGGCCTCGCGCGCCGGCGTGCGCTTCGTCCTGCACCCCACGGCCGGCCGGCTCGTATCCCTGACCACCAGCGGCGGCGGCGGTGGCGGCGGCGGCGTGGAGACGGCCGACGGGCGCGCCCACGCCGCCCGCCTCGTCGTGCTGGCCTGCGGCGCCTGGACGCCGTCGGTGCTGGCGCCGCGCCTGGACGGGCTGTGCGAGGCGACGGCGGGCTCCGTGGCCATGCTGCGCCTCCCGCGCGCCTCGCCGCTGTTCGACCGCTTCGCGCCCGACAGCTTCCCGACCTGGCAGTACCGGCTGCGCGACGGCGCCGACGGCGGCCTGTACGGCTTCGCGCGAGACGACGACGGCTGGCTCAAGATCGGGTACCGCGGGACCAAGTACACGAACTACCAGGCTAGCACCGGGGAGGACGGCGGCGAGCGCAGCGTGCCCGTGACGAGATGGTCAGATCAGCCGCCGGCGGCCGGGCCGACGGTCGAGGCCATACCGGAGCAGGCCCGCAAGGTGATACAGCGTTTCCTGGACGACCATCTCCCCGAGCTGGGCGAGGCCGGCATCGGCATTGAGGTCACGCGGCTGTGCTGGTACACGGACAGCTTCGACAACCACTTCGTCGTGGACTATGTCCCCGGCATGACGCCTGCCGACGGCGAAACCGCTGTCATGGTCGCCACTGGTGGGAGTGGCCACGCCTTCAAGTTCCTCCCAAACATTGGCAACTGGGTTGTCGATGTCATCGAGGGAGTTGGACTAGACAGGCCGGCCATCAAAGCATGGCGGTGGAGGACTCCGGCGCCGGGAGCTCCGGTTGCCAACAAGTTGATGGAGGGGAGTCATGGGCCGAGGGCGTTTGGCAATGTCCCCATGGCCAACGGTACCGAATGGGCAAAGGGGGCCGTGTAGATCCCACTTGGCGCGGGGCTATTCAGCCGTGTGTCGTAACAAAAAGTGAAAGCAGATGAACCGAAGGGGGAGTTGAGCAAGCAAGCTGACGCTATTTGTCCTTCATGTCTCCGATTCACCTTTCCAACTCATCCCCTTTGCGCACGCCTCTAGATTAGTCAAGGTACCCAGCATGTCAATGGCTTATGGGTAGAAGTGGCTTGGAATGCTCGGCATGCTCGGTCCGAAGATCATAATTCAGAAGGCCTGCCTTTTTCTAAGATAGCTGCAATCATCCTCAAGCCCGGAAGCTAACCCCAACGCCAAACATCCGGTATAGTCTCTTTCCTCCGCCTTAACAATCGCAGGTGGGTGCAGACAGTCCGTTGGCAGAAGGCCCCCAGAACCACGTCCCCCTTGACCTTGGATTCACCTAATCCTCCAGCGTGCTCACCGTGGACCACTCGCCGCGCAGGTTCTCCTTCCATAGCGTGACCTTGTTGTCGCCCGAGCTGACGGCTAGCACGTTGCCGCTCAGCGACCAGCTCACGCGCCAGACGGTGGTGTCGAACTCCTTGAGAACCTTGGACTGCCACTGGCCGGGCGTGGAGACGTCGCTGGTCCAGATGCGCACGGTCCTGTCCTGGCTTGCGCTGGCGATATAGCTCTTCTGGAGCGTCGTCGGGCTCCAGTCGACGTCCAGGACCCAGTCGCTGTGGCCCTGCAGCACGCCGCCCTCCTCGCAGCGGTACGCCTGCGTGGCGGCGTCCCAGGACCAGATCTTGAGCGTGTTGTCGCTGCCGCCCGTGACGAAGCGGCGCTGGGCCGCGGCGGCACCAGGGCTGGTAGCGATGATGTTGCCGGGCGAGGTGGATGGGGCCCACGAGACCGAGTTGACGCCCTGGCCGTGGGCGAGGAAGTTTTGATGTTCAAAGGAGCTGTCCTTGAACTCGAGCACCGAGACGTGGCCGTCGGAGGAGGCGCAGGCCAACAGGCAGCCTGACTCGTGAGGCGACCAAGACACTATGTTGACAGAGGCCTTGTGCAACGCAAAGTCGAAGATGCGCTGCCACGAGCCGGCCTGCTCGCGCCAGATGAGCACCTTTCCGTCGTAGCCCGACGAGGCCAGAATGTTGCCGTATTTGGGGTGCGCCCAGGCGACACACCAGACGGCTCCTTCGTGACTGCTCGTTTCGGTATCAGTGTCGCGTCAGCGGACCGGCCGATGTTCTAGTGTATGAGATGGAGCCTGCAGCACTCGCGCCCAAGGGCAGCTGCCTAGCCCTATATGCAGACTCACCCCTTCAGAGTCTCGGTTAATCTGTGTGACTCGCCCTCCACCTCGAAGATCTTGATTGTCCTATCGGAGGAGCAAGTCGCCAACCGGCGCCCGTAGTAGTCGAGGACCGCATCGTGCTAGTTCAGAGCTGCATGTTAGTCGCGGCGCGGGCGCGCGCAACCAGACGAGAAGTCGAGGACGCGGAGGCTCGTACAATCATGTCATCGTGACCAGAATTGGCAATGACCTGAGTAGCCTGGCGGGTTGGGACGTGGTTGTCAGCACCTAAAGCCGTGATCTGTCTGGCGCGGGCTCGCTATCAAGATGCCAGCTGGTCTTTGGACAGCAGTGTAAGTCCGCACCATTTTGTTCGGTACCGAAGACGCCTCGGTCGTATTTCGCAAGCGGTATGGTTTGTCCGTGGTTGCGCAGCGTAGTCGGGATCTGGAGATCAGAGGAAGAGGGATTGCTGCGACGGGCGCGGCCAATTATGTCGAGTAGATGTGATGTTCGCTGTCACGGACGAGGCCCGTCAAGCAATGCCACTCTGCGATGGGCTGCGTCGGGATCTGCCGGGCGGTGAGCAGGCCGGGTATACTTGGTACGTACCGCCCCCCACATCAAAGTGGAGTGCGCGATGCGTGATCACAAGCCGTGCGCGTCAGGAACGCCACTGCCGACGGACCGACGGGGCTTTGCCAGACCTCGGGGCATTGACAAGTCCCTATATAACGGGAACTGCCACCCATTCTGATGCCCTAGTGTTTCCAAGACTCGGCACCTAATGGCTCTCGCTCACTCCCCGCATCCTAATCACCACCGCATCTAACCAGGCCCCAAGCCGTCCGAGAATATCTCGTCTTGCCGGACTGCCCGAAGTTGCATCGATTCAACGTTCCGGGTAGGTACATGTACCTGGTGGCATCTAGTCCACCCATCGCGCAGCATGCCAACCGATCCACATCAAGACAGACCTTCGAACCTAGTGGGAGCCAAGTGGGAGCCTCTGTTGGCCTTGACGCTGTAGAGTTCCCAAGCCCATGTGCCCACGTAATAGCGCCGTAGTGCCGTCGTCTCGTGAACCTGCGTGAGCCCGTGTGGGTCTGCGCGTGGCCGTCCTAGCTGACATCTTATATGGTTCCTGTCCAGACTTGTCCCGGCCTATGCACGGGGTCAAATCCTAGCTTCCGTCATAATTCAAGACGACCCAGAGTCGGCGCGTCTGGTACTGGTGCAGCCTGGGTGTACCAAGGCTCCCGCAAGAGCAGATAGTCTGGGATAAGGTGGATTGCTCATCGCATCCGGTTGAGAGGCTTCGCCGTCGGGTTGAGGCTGCGTGTTACTGTTCCCGGAGCTTCCTGTGCTCTTGCTCCAGTGGAGCCAACCGGCAGGGTCGTTTGCCGTGGCTTGTATACAAAAATTACTTGTACGTATCTCACCTCCCACCTAGTTTCCTTCCATCACACACCATCACCAGCCTCTCTCACAGCCACCCCACAATGCGCCGTGTCTCCCAGCTCATGTCCGGCCTCTTGCGCCAACCAGTACGTATCCATCAGTCTAGGACCAGTGCTAACTATCACTTGCTAAAAAAGGATATCAAACGTCATCAAACTTCCTCTCTCTCACTTGCCTAAACAACTATCAAGATGGCAGACTCAATGTGTGGCCCGTCAAACCCCCTGAAGCATGTACAGGACCACCTGTCACGCGCTGGGCAGGACATGAGGTTACGGAGTCAGCCAAGCCAGAGCTCAGAGGTACGCCCCCCGTTCTTCTCATGTCCAACTTGCCCCACGTGGTGGCTTTCCTAACCCTCTCACTAGACCTTTCGATCCATAGCGCAAGAATCGAGCATGGCCGCCGAGGACAGCTTCGCCGAGTTCCAGCGCCGCGGCGCGCAGCTGGACCACGTGCCCATCCTCCTACCCGCCCACATAGGCCCGGGGCCCCTCCAGGCCGCCTACATGCAGCCCGCCGCCTTCCAGGCCGTCGCCGCCGCCGCCCAGCCCGCCAACTCGCTCCAGCAGCACTCGCAAGCGCCGTCGCGCCACGGAGCCTCGTGGGCCGCCGAGTACGCAGCCATGGCGCCGCCCAGCATGTCCAGGGGCGCCGAGATGCCCGCGGCCGGCCCCTCCTTCCTGCCGCAGCCGACCCAGGGCCCGATGCTCCACCGGCCGCCGCACCAGATGCAGGCCCCATCCTATATGATGGGCAACTACGGCCGGCCCATGTTCGCCGCCGCCCGCCCGGCACCCACCATCGCCGCGGCCGCCGTCCCCGTCGACCCTCTCGCCGACGAGGCGGAGCGGGCCCGGTTCGATGCCGCCTTCGCCCAGCTCGACCAGGAGTTCAGCTCGGCCGTGGACGAGTGGGACGCGGCGCACGGGCCCGACGCCCAGGCGGACGGGGTGGCGGCCGGCATGGACGGGCTGATGGACCGCCTGGCGGACCAGCGCCTCGAGGACGGGCCCCGGCCCCAGCCGCAGCAGCCACCCCAGCAGGACAGGGCGGCCGCCAGCGGCGACCCGGAGCTCCGCGCCGTGGCGGGCCAGGTGGCCGGCATGCTCGGCAGCGCGCCGCTGTTTGAGAGGTCGCAGTTCGCGCAGCTCATGCGCGGCATCGAGGCCGGCACCATCGTCGTCGACGCGGCCCAGACAAACTTTGTCGACGCCACCACCCTGGAGCCCGTGGCGGGCTCCGGCGCCGCCCAGGCCGGGGAGAAGCCGGACGGCGGCGGCAATTGACGGTACCGGCGCGCCCAGCCGCGCGAGATGACGGCGACGGCGACGGCGACGGCCCAGGCGTGGGGGCCGCCGAGTCCTGCCCAGCCGCCGCCGTCGCCGCCCGCCCAGCCCGCCTCCCCGCGAGAGCTTAGGGACTTTGCGGAGGAGGCCATCGGCCGTGCCAAGCTCTTCCCTACCTCGTTTTAGTTTATTCCTGAAAGCCCTCTGGAATGAGGCGCTGCCGTGTACGAGTAGGTTGTTACTAGGTAGATCTTAGCCTGTCGGAACAGGCTTCAGCTCGGCAAATTTCTTTTAGATGTAGCCTGCCAATCTGGATCTGGAATACCCATGAGATTGAAGATGACTGCCTGTTCTCCCCCCTGCAAACATATCATTTTTCTCGTCATGCACAAAATACGAAGGACCCATTCAAAAATCTAAAGCCTCTTAATTCTTCCCTTCTGAAGGTCTCGGTATCTCCATGGACGTAGACTCCTGCCCGCAAATCCCGAATTTCAAGAGCTACTCACAGCCTTCGACCTGGAAAAAACTAAACTATCTCCAAAGCGTTCCCACGAAGCTGTATATCTCCCATCCACGTGTCTGCTTAGCCGGGAACGCAAAAACGGCATCTCTCCCAGGCGGCGGCTGTCGGCTGTATGCTCCTGCTCCCAAGTCCAAAACCCTTCTAGCATAGCCTTGAAACCACCCAAACCCGTGCCCTTTCTCACCTAGGAAGCCTTTGAGCTGGGCTTGTTCCTCTCGGAGAAAGTCCCCGTCCTTGCCCTCACTCTTCAGGTTTTTGTGATTCGAGACACCAAACTGCGGCTGCGGGCGTACTCCCGGGCCTTCTTCGGCTTGTCCCAAGAGTTCACCGCGAATGCGGCGGGCTCGACCCAGATGGCCTTCCGCTCGCAAACCGGGGTCTCCATCAAATCAAGCAGGGCTAAACCCGTTGGCTCGGCGATCTCCTGGCCGTCTTTGCCGATCTGCACGGACAGGTTCTTGTTCAGCGGGTTGCGCAGGTGTTTTATGTGTTTGAACAAGATGGCTGTCGTGCTGAGCCACTGGATACGGAAGGGAGGCGACAACCGCCGCTCGTTGATGTCGGCCCAGTTGGGTCTAGATGATTTGGTACCAAGTTAGCTTCTCTCGGCATAATCGGCTCGCAGGACCCGCGTTACTGCCATAGAATCCTGTTGACCGCCGTCCAGGGGCACTTAAGGCAGGTAAGAAAAGAAAAAGAGCGTACGGGTCGATGGAGCTGTCTGGTGTGCCGCACATCCGCGCCTAGTATTTTGATGGTGACGGGTCCATGTCAGCAACCCGAAAGCACGTGTCTTAGGTGCCGAGAGTACATACGTAGCCTTGGAATGCACCCGAGTCATTCACGGAGAAGAAGAGCAACACGTTTTTGCTGCTGGCATATGCCTCGCTCAACGGTTTCACGTTTTGAGGCTGAGTAGTCCAAAGTCCCTGAATATATGGAGGCTAAGTGATTAGAACGAACATGCCGCATGTCATTACTAATAAAAATGGGCTAAAGTACACGGTACCTCTTTGATGGATGTGTGAATGTTGGCATCGTTGAACGACTTGATAGCGAAAAATCTGGTCTCTTGGGGTCAGACGAGATGTTAGCACTTTCAACCAGCATTAGATGAAGGGTGCATATGCTGCATGGAACGCAAGTTTGAGAGTCGGCGCTATTTGGGCCATAGTGTTGATTAGACGGCAGAGGGTGTTCCTGGGAGACTGAGATGGTGTGCTGCAAAAGGCTTCTAGATTCACGATCGCGTCTATCAGCCAGTGGAGAGGTTGGTCACGACAAACATACCTCCAGGGCGTCCCAGGTCCACCTTTTGATTCACTTTCCGTGCCAGCCTGCTGTGGTCGCTGTTCCTATTGCCGGGAGTGCGGTTTCCTGAGCCGTAGCGTGAGGACGTGTTTGTCTGTGCTCGAGGACCCCGAGCACTTGGCGATTGGCTCCGACGAGGGTCATGATATCTGTATCGGTCTCTGTCCCAGTCTCTGTCCCAGTCTCTGTCCCAATCTCTGTCCCAGTCTGGTTCACGGCGGCAACCTCGAGGTGGGGGTGATCGAGATCCATCGTAATTCCGGCGTGAGGACCAGCCGGTCCGTGGCGTTAGCGTTCGGGATCGCCCCGGGCTGACGGAGCGATCATCTCGATCCCGCCTGCGGCCAAGCTCGCGATCCTCGATGCCATAGTCTCGGTGACGGGTGTTCACCGGTGTTGTCTTCCGCTCAGCATGCGCAATCGCCTTCTTGGGCAGGGACCCATGAGCAGATGGGCCAGTGTTCGGTAGATCGATTTCCATGGGCGTGAGCTCTGGCGCGGTGTTGTCAGGCTGGGATGAGGTTCTGCGGCGAAAGTCAAAGCCCGAGTTTTGATCCTCCTGAAGGAGTTTGGCCTTCAAAGTTTCCACTTCAGCCAGTTTGTGCCAGCGATCGACGATGGGAGCTCTGGTGGCCTCGTTGTAGTATCCAGAGCGCTCCAGCCACATCATGACATCTTTCTGCTCGTTGGATGAGCCAGTGGAGTGTATCGTGATCGATACCATCTTGCCCTTGAAAGGTGCCGGTTTGTGTGTGGTATCGGCCAATCCTGGGTGTTCAGCCAGCAGGCTGCCGGCTCCCTGCATCCTCGGATAGGTGTTGTCGTGGGCCTTCTCCGTTGTATCATCGCTTCCCAAGCAGGCCTTTGCCTTTCCTCCTGTTGCCCTTGCACCCAAGGACTTGCCGCGGTGGTCTTGACTGATCGATGCGCCCTGGCCCTCGCCGGGGGTCTTTGCGTCCCGAGCCGCATGCTTGATCGGATTGTGTGTGTAGACGCTATCGCTCTTTGATTCCCCAGTGCTCGCTTTAGAGCTCGAGCCATCCAACCGGTGTACAGGTGGAGGCGTGACTGTTGTTGCGTCTTGACGGTCTTTTTCTTGCTTCTGTCGGCGATCTGGGCTGGGCTTTCCGATGACTCCGTTCTTGTTGTGCTTTGGAAGGGTAGTTGTATTGCGCGCCTGGCTTTTGTTCTGGGATATCTTTGACTGCTCAGCTCCGCTGAGATGGGCTGACTGCTTTGCGCCTAGTTGCGGGGCTGGAGATGTGTTTTGAACTTCAGCGGGCTGGTGGTCGCCCTTGGCGGATACGGTTCCCAGTGCCATGTCTCCTCCCTTCGTATCTCCCTGCTTGGCGGCTTCGATCTCGGCCACCAGGTCAACAATCTCCTTCTCTGCCGTCTTGTAGAGAGTCTGGTCATGCGAGGATCTAGTCGATTGGGCAGGTGGTGGCTTCGAGGGCATTGAAGCGCTCGTGCTGGCGCCGAGTTGCATGGATCCGACCGTCTTCTGGCGATTCTTCTTGACCAGCTCCTTCAGGGTTGCAGCTCGGGCTGCTAGCGACGGATCAGGTTGAGCTACAGCTCTTGGGGGTGCTGGTGACGATGTCGCTGCGGGTTGGGCGAAGCCTGCAGAGCTGGGACTGCTCTGAGTGGGAAGCGATGATTGCCTCAAAAGCTGTTCCTGTCCCATGTTTCCCTGCTTTTCAAGTTGAGGTACAGCTGTCAGTAACGGCCGAAGTGGCTCGCTGCACCGGCGCCAAAAGTGCGCGTTCGAGCGAGAGGCGACCGGACAGACCCCAGATCGAAGGCGTGGGAGATTTGCAAAGCACTATACCATGCGGGCGTCGTGGCTGCACAGATTAAGGGCATCTAGAGGTAGAGGCAGGTGGTAGGTTGGGTCTTGGAAAGAAGAAGGAGCGGGCCGTGGGTCTTATGGAACCTCTAGTAGGTGGTAGGCAGGTTGCAGGTTGGAAGGTGTAGAAAGGGAAGGAGCGGGTGGGAAGTGCCGAACTGACGGAGAGATGGAATCTTGTTCACGTTTGACCGCATAGAAGGCAGTCCCTCAATGACACCATTGTGATGGCCACATTCTTACCTCCATCTCCGGTCGTCCATGCATGGCAGGAGTGCACTTGGAAGCCACCGCTGTCCGGTCCTTAGCCATGTGTGGAGGTTGGGGGGAAGTGAAGTGGTAGGTAGTCTTGGTCGGCTCCCCGCATGTCGACGAGAGAGCAAACAGCCTATCTCCTGTCACGGAGACCGCGTGTGGATTTCTATCAGCGACTCGATGTTTGCTATAGAGCAAGCTATCTGGACAACCCATCAAAACTCGCTGGTCCTTATCCTTTCCTGCCTACGCAGCGAAATTTAATCTTCGCCGCTTGATAGCAAATTAATTGCTGCAAGAGGTTCTCCAGTCCCACGCTTGGGTCCTTTGGGTGAAGGCCTAACGCGCTCGTAAACCATTCCCCACGTTTCCCAATCGGTCATTTTGAGATGCAAGCTCTCGTAAGTTCCCGTTAAAAAGCCGGCGTCGACATAGGTCCAGCCAACATCCCAAGCAGGATTCCCTTCGAGAGGCTCATATCCCTCGTCCTCGTCCTCGTCCTCGTCCTCGTCGTCAGGATCCTCATCGTGGTGCCCGTGAGTGCCGTCAATAACGACAACTTGGCCTCGTAGGTACCAATGGATCCCTGGACCGCGGCGGTAGTTCCGCGCCACGGTGAGAGAATCCAAGCAGGCGCGATCCACGTAGATGCAGTACTTGAAGCGCGGGCACTCCTTGGGTATCCAGGGCGCCGCGGCGCCGGGCCCGTCGCGCTCGTCGGAGCGCGCGGCGATCCATTCGAGGAAGCGGGCGCGGATGGCATTTCTAGACGCGCCCTCGAGGGCCTTGTCCTCAATAATGGTCCATTCAAGATCGGGTCCCAGCTCGTCCTGTGCCTCTTCGCGTTCCAGGCGGGCGGCGTAGTTGTCCTTAAGGAGGGCAACGAATTTTGCCCAAAGCGCGTCGTCTTCATAGGTGCCACGGAAGACCACAAAGTTCCATTTGCGGTACCGCAGCCTATAGCGGGTGTTGATTGTGTCTGCGAGCCCCCCTCTGTTGCGCGTATAACCCGGCGGGTAGCTTGGTAAACTATGGTCCACCATTGTGGCTGGCGAGCGCGCCAAGAAGACCGAGTTGTGTGTTGTTGGCCACAGAAGGCGAGGAGGACTAGAGAAAGGCTGGGAGAATTTTGTAACCTGGCCAAGGGCCCGCAGCGCCCCGCTTCCCCTCCATGCTCGCCATACCAAACACCATGTAAATCCTGCCAACTCTTATTTTTCTTACGAAATTCATGCTAGCCTGTGAGGTAGCAGACGCGACACGAAGCACTTGAACGTTATACATAGCTCGCTTGGATGCGAGCTACTTATACAAGGCGGGCCTGCGTCATGGTTAAAAAGCTAGCCACTCCAAAGTAGTTAAATCCTGTCCTTTGCTTCGGATTTTGGCCTGGATATTTTGTAACGGCTATGGGACTGGTCCATCTTTTGCGAAAGTAATATACCGGGGTAATTTAAACTAGCGTTTAAATCAACCGCTTCTTATGGGCTTTGTCGTTTTGCCATGGACAACTCTGGATCCAAATGTCGACACCAGCCAGTACAATGGTCTTCGTCTGGCATTTATGAGGATGATTTTCCGTACTAGCTCTCGGGACCTGAACCCGTAAGTCGAGTGGGATAGCAGCGGGCAGCCGGCCGCCCGGTTAGGCACCAGCGCATGTTACGCTCCTCGGGCGAAGTGTTAGCGCGGACTGCAGTCTTTTGACGAGAAGGGTAAAGAGCTGATGGCAAAATCTCAGGCGAATGTGGAAGTCGCAAAA